CTAGCCTCCTGCTTTTCCAAACTGAAATGAGAACTTCGTAAGAGGTCACGATATCGTAATTAACAAATGTATACGTTATCAGTTAAAAAGAAATTTGTTTCGATGTATGAGTGTAAGCATGCTTAGTGATTGCAATCACTACTATGCATGTAAGAGTTGAGATTGTACTCGATAAAAGCTTTTAAACTAAAGAAATGATAAAGTACAAGGGTAAAATATCTATTTTAGCACCATTTCGTTGTAAAAACATGTAAGTTATTTCTAAAAGTTAAAACCTTTGAAAAAAATGACCTTGTAATTCATTGAAAACATAAGAATATGATGGCTAAATGCATACCTCTCAGGAATTTGGCTTATGGAAATCTCTGGTATTCCTTTCAATTTCGAAACATTATGATACGTCGTATCATCAGAATTATCAAATAAACTTGAGCGATGGTCAAAGGAAGAGTCATTAGAGTCTACTAGATCAAAGCCACTATTGTCAACCAATGAACTCTTATAAGACGGTGAATCTAAGCATTTGAAAAAATCTCTAAAACTTACATATAGGACTAAACTTTAGTTGGGAAACATCAGTGATATTAACGCCATCACCGGCATTGAGTGTAGAGTTCTTGATATCTGGTGAAACTTAGTGAAAAGAATCAGCCAAATGTTTTTTACATACGAGGAAACTGATATAAATCTCGAAATAGGGAATCGTTATTGTCAGATTTACCTAAAAAAATAGTTGTAAAAATCATTGCTTACATAAACCTCTTCGTATTTCCGGACTAGAGTTCACGTCTTGGTCATCACAATCATCTTAAAGGAAGAAAATATGGTGATTAAATCTAAGCTTACTGTCCATGGCCAGAAAGTACACTGACTTCACGAAAACAAATACATTATTTAAATTTTGCCTAATGCGCCTTTCTACAGTCGATGCATCATAACGAAAAAAATTTGAGGAAATGATAATGATAAATAATTTAAAATTCAAACACTCCCATCCTCATTAATTAACAATAACAGCTTTATCACAGAAAGAATGAGTCGATGGAATTAGTGCGAATGTAGAACACCAAACGTTATAAATGCAGACTTTGCAGCCCACAGGTTTATCGATGGCCGAATAAATTCCAAATTAGTAATGTGCTCGAATTCGCTTTTAGCTGACTTCGGCTTTTCGGAAGCTCATCGGTGTGAACCTGTAGTCAAGATGTGATGTGTAACATTGCTGGTTAAACACAGTAAGTGTGGTTACGTTTGGTGTAATTCGAGGAACTTGTAGGGTGTGTCGTTAGTATGGATCATTTGTGTCATTAACAGCGACGAGGCACAATCTACTACCAGAAAGAATGTTACTCAAACATATAATTCAATGTTTCCCGCTACTAACCTCTCTTTACGCGAGTCAGTAATTAGATTATGGGGTTGCATCAGGTCTATAACAATGATTAACACAGAAACATCCGCAACAGCCAAAACTCAACAAGTGAGTGTGTGTAAACCCATGTTAAGGTAGTCATTTCGCTTCCCTTATGTGACACGCGGTTTTCCGTCTGCTACGTGTACGTTGAAAACTCTTTCGTGCAGTCGGTCGTTAGAATCCTCATTAAGAACACCAACTCCAGTTCCAGTGTTTACGAGGTAGTGAACTTTCATAACTACATCAGTGATGCATAAACGATGACTATGTTGCCATCGACGCGTGACGTCTGTGCAGTTTACCGAAACATTTTTCACGACTGTATGTTTAGAGTTCAAAAAACTGCTGGGTTTTCTGCAATTTCTCGTGCTGATTACGATACCAGCACCAGTTGAGGTTATCTTTCTCTCGTGAGCTAGAGACAGATCGTTTCCGTGAAATACTGCTTCGAAAATTTTGTGTGTACATTTGCTCATGACGAATAGTAAGGTAACGTGTCAGAGTATCTCAGAGTTCCGTAATGTCATTTCGTGTGATTCGAACATTTTATTTGATTGAAAAAACCTCGACTTTATATGTTTTGGTGATCTCCAGAATTCGGTCCATAAATGAAGCCTGCCTGTCTATAGCGTTGTTTTGAAATGAGACAAGCACTACTTGCGCTTGTTGGGGAGGCTTAGACAACAAAGCTGTCTGAACTGGCCCTTGTCAGAGGTTCGTTGACTAATGACCTCCCGCATACGCAGCGACATTTCTTTTGTTGAGCCACGTTGTAGTTTGGTGTCGTGGAAGTATTTGTCCGACATTTGACGGTTCGTTGGGTCTTCACAGTTAAGGATAACCTTCCCTAAATTGTCTTATGACTCCGAATCTTCGCTAGTTAACATACTAGGTGTTACGTAACGGTTAAAATGGCGCTGGGGTGCTTTTACTACCACGAGGGTATGTGCAGGTGTGTCTGCTACACCGTGATAGTGAAATTAGCTTCTGCGTTGTGGGACCGGGGTTTGATATATCTGGCCGGAATGACATTAGCTGAAACGAGGCAGTCGAAACATTTTAAAATTTAAGTCACTTAGGGGTCAATTGCGTCATACTAAATTTGAAGTTTACCAATGATCGAGCAAAAATAACATTCGAAAATATGAAAATAATACCATCATATGTAAAACAAAAATCAGAAAGTGAATAATAAGGAATAGAAAGTTTGCTGCTTGGTGTGCCAGATCACCCTGAGTGCACCAGTAAGGATACAACAATTTTTCGGAGTTTGTCAACTCCTTTACAATTGAAGAATATCAACACACTCAAACTAGATATCAGAAGTGAAGAGATTCAAAGTGATATTTGAAGGGTTATCAGCATGTCCACGAACATTTGGTCTAAGCTGACTAACAATTGGTAGGGGTGCATTGGAAGGAGTGTAGTGGCATTGGACAATAGCCACACAATCCACAAAGCTGTGAACACAAGACTACTCAGAAATAGATATTCAACATTTAATGCGGAGAAATACCTAACAATGGGAAAGGCGCGAACAATGAGCGGAATGGACTGGGTTTGATCGGATGGCATGCAGGCGTGGTCTCTGCCGAATGTTACCTTATATCTTCTATTCATATTAAATATATTGTTCCTTCTCTAGCCTAACCTTGTTCTACATCATGTATTGGTAATTGATACGATACAGTGAGTTGGTGTAGTCGATGGTGTGACTTCCACGTAAGATCTTATAGATTAGGCAGTTATATCATGAGAAATCTACAATTTTAGGATTAGGTCTATTATTAGAGCAGTACCAATATCATAGTAGACCATAATTCTACAGGAGTACACACTCATGATCTGGTGCAGATGCATGACCGAGTGCGTTCAACAAAACATTCGTAACTAAAGCAATTCCATATTAGGGGACATATCAAATTAGCACAACGACGGGGAATTCAAAACGTGAAATGAAGTTGGGATACAAGGGAAAAAGAATATATCAATAATGGAATACATTTAGAGAAAGACAGATTTGTTCAAACATAATCAATAACTTTGCCTTGGATCAAATAATAAAGTTGGATGCAAAACTCCGTCGATAAGAAAGTTATGGTCAAGGAGAAAATAATGTTTCAAGTCATATCACGTGCATATAGTTGGGGCTTTCTCACTCCTATCCAGACCCTCACAAACAGATACAAACGAAGAGATCCTACATTAAAGTCGCACATTGTTGAGGCGCATATTTATTTGTGTACAAATGCCAGACTGGAGGTTTTTAAAATTTATGTGCTCAGTGTGCCATTTTTGCTGTCGAGAAACGCAAGTTGTACTTAATTAACATCAATGTATTCTCTGTCTTATAAACTGTAATTTTTTATCAGGCATGTTCAGTACTAAAAGATACTCTTAAAGTGAGCAACAATTGTTATATTTGGCTGACACATATATATCTGCAGTAAATGGTACTGGATGCGAGTGTAATCGAAGACACTTCTGTCCACTTATGTATGTTGTTCTAATTTTCTTGTTCATTGAAAAGGTCGGTGATTCACACAAGGGTGTAACTCACTAGAAATTACATTTCAGGGGACAAATCTCATAAAATTTGGGAATTCGTCACACTGACATATTCGTCAAACGAAGATTTACTCAAATCCAGGTGTTTGAAAAATTTTTTTCATGGAAACCGGATTTAAGATGCAAAAGATATTTGAAGTTTCACATTCCTATACACGTAACACGTTCATAGTCAGAGTATACCAAAGCAGCCAAATCAAAAGTCAGAAATGTAGGGGTTCTAAGATATATTTGGAAGGTTATTGTTATGTTGATGATGATTCCGTTTAAGCTCTCTGGCAGTTGAAGGAAATGCTTAACAGGATGCACCCATCCGTGATCTGATGCAGATGCGTGACCAGGTGCCTTCAGCTAGGGTGTGTCCAATAAACATATTAAGGTCAGCATCAGTCTCAAAGGCATACTAACCAAATTATTTTGAGATTTTATTTATTGCGTCGCATGTATCTATTTAAAATGTATGTAAGACTCTCAAATATACTATATAGTTCTCACCCGTCGGAAATCGAGACATAACTATGGCCGCCACCAGAATGTTACAGAATCGGATTTAGTGGAGGATATATCACATTTTTGTGAGCGAATTATTCGTGAGACGTAAGTGTGAATTTTTATTTACACATAAGATACACATTCATTCCCAGCCTTTGATACAAAGAGATTCAATGTAAATCAGTATAACATATATTCAGGTTTACTTCTTATACCACATCTGAAGTAATTAACATTTACTATAAACAACCTTTTATGTCTTTCCCAGTTTACAAGCAATCATTATCTATGTCATGGAATGCAATTTTACATGAGAAATGTAAAGCAAAAATATTATGCAAGCACACATAGATGGCAAGTCGGATTTTCGCTTTACATCTTATGGACTGCAACAGGAAGACTAAAGTTGTACAACTGGTACTATATTCATTGATGAGCAATTCGGATAAGAGGGATAATGAAGTATAACAATCATTGATGAACACTGGATAGTAATTGAGTATTGAAATTCCTTGTGAGGATCTTCAAATGAGTACGTTTGTTTCTTTCTGGACTAGTTTGGAAGCCTCATAGTTCACATACAACGCTAGGTTGTGCTATGAATATTGAAAAATTATAATGAAACTTTCAAAGTCTCTTACTTGTCCATTGGACTTCGTCTAAAGAGAACATGATTTCTTACAGACCAGCACGATGTATTAAATAAAGTTTCGTTTTATTGCTTTTTTGCAAATCGACTGTTGACTGCAGATAAATTCAGCTTCTTTACCTTGCAAAATTTCAATAGGTCGAAAGCGTTCTACAAGTTGCAATTGTGTCATTATTTTGGCCTAGACCGTACGGTCTTAACTTTTGATACATTTAATCGCGTTTTTCTGCATGAAGCTGAAAATAAGTGATCAATAAGGTCTTCATCCAAAATCTCATGTGTTATCTAGCACAACTGTGAGCCGAAGTGTTCGAACAAAATATCGAAAATCCACAAAGTTTACCGGTGATTGTGGGCAGGTTTTCGAATGTCATAATCTGCGTGTTCGTTGTTCACAGTGATATTTTGCATTACGGGACACTGAATTTAGATGATATTCTAAATACCAGCCCTGTTTGCATAGTGACTTGAATGTGCCTCTGTAGTTTACTAAATCTTCTGAACAAATGATTTTTCTAGCTTTCGAAAGCATTCATGAGTTTCGACAATGTACTCTCGGTCTTTTCAAAGTGGCATGTTTTAATGACTCGAGAAAATTCACTGCACTCACAATTATATGCCAATGGCTTGACAATTTTGTTCGCAGTGGTGGCTTACTGTTTAAAGTAAGTACAAACTCGTATCTGTCTACTTTGTTTTAGGGAGGTGGGTAGTTCTACTAACTTACAGTTCGTATTCGGCAAATGACTTTATTATGTGAAACGAAACACAGTATATACCTAGCTCTTAGCATAGGGTTTTTTTGTGGAGATTGCCATCTTTTAACCGTTTTCATCACGATCTAATCTCAGTTAAACTACTATCGAAAGCTAAAAATTAATGGAAAGCCATCTTTCCCTAGTCCGGGACTCCTTAATAGCGCGGATTCACAACTCCATATGCGATCAAACCAAGGATCTTCGGTCTAACTAGTGGAGTTCAACAAAATCTGGTGTAAAACAATTGTCCACCTCAGACAATGGAAGATAATCACGCAATTCCGCGAATGCATTAAGGCTAGACAGCATTGAATAGCGTCCCAGTAATCTGTAGGGCCTGGCACGTGTGACCGAAGGTTCTTGTTTCAGTCTCTAATGGGGTTGTGGATACTCACTGCCTAGAAGTTACATATTAGGACGAAACACCTATCCGGTGCTTCCTGGATTTTAATAGTTGTTTTACTAAGATCAGTACGTGATTTAAAGTATTTTAATATCTTGTCAGTGACATACGTTTTCATCGGAAAACAAAAGCGCGTCGTTTTTCAATATCATAATAATGCCTGAGTTTTCTAATTTCACCCTCTGGAATGACAGTCACAAATCGAATCTTTTGTAAACCGTTCTATCTTAATCAAAATACGTGCTGCAACTCAATTTTTATATATGTTTTATGTTTCTATCAGTTAACGTCAGATGGGTGTCGTAGACAACATTAGGAGATCTATAGTTGTTTTTGACTAACGTGTTTTCAACCGACGTATTACATTGTCTTTGATTTCAACTCTAATGTTGGTTATATGAACCTAATAATGTCAACTGATTAGTACCAAAGAGACAGCGGTTTGTCTGTAAGCACATCAACACACATATATAAGACTAGGATGTTAATTTTGGATGACAATATTTCTTGATTACGGGCATGAATTCTGAAATTAAACTGGTTATTAAACAACTATCTAAAACAGTGTTTCATTACATGTTTGAGTACTGTTGGTAGTCAGGTCAGGTAATATCACTCAGATTATTATCTCCTGATGAATCATAAAAGACCAGTAGGAATCGACTCTGTTCTCCAAAAAACTTTTGGTTTCATACTTGCTCTGTTCTTTAGTTCAGGTCATTTTGTATTTCGTGCTGGTTTCTTTGGGTTAAGAACGCTGCCGTACATGCAAAGCATCTACTTGTCATGAGGTTTCGTTCTTGCGTGGCTTATTTATCAATTATATTGTGTTCTGGATGAATTAATAGATACTAATTAAATAACTGAAATATTCTTCATGCTTTTATTTCTCGGTTAATTAGTTTAATATTGCTTTTCCACATAAAAATGCCTAATTTCAGATGAACATTGGAACCTTTTTAACACAAGTCCAGGTTCGCCTACACAACCAATTTCTAAACGACAGTACCGGCTTGCACACCAGACGTTGTGTATTACCCACATTGACTTCGAGCAACGTTTGATCGTAGGTTTTACTCAGTTAGTGATATGGCCTATCACACCAACCTTGAGACGTATTCACATAAATTGCCGTCAGTGTCGTATTCATCGCATTTTATTAGAAGCAGCTGATAATGAGTCTGCAGAGTTCGAAAGTGATCGAAAAGGGCGGAGCTCGAATTGGGGTATTTCGAAAACCAAATTAATCCCATCGCCAACTGATCTCCCTATCCTATATACTGATCCCACCTTAGAAATTTGTGAACGTGATATTAAATTAAGAACTTTGGACAGCTTTGAACGCCGATATACCTCCGTTGTAATGTCAACCGATCCGGATGAAGACGCAGGTGAAGTAACAGTTCGATTGCCTTCAGATTTCTGGCCGTTAATTTCTCAAAAATCTCCTTTTATTTTAACCATGGAATTTTCTCTTAATAAACCCAAGTCTGGATTTTATTTCGTTGTTCCTGATGGAGAAGGATCGTTAAGTGAACGCGGAGTACATGCATTTACAGCTTTTACACCAAACTGTTCTCGTTTATGGTTTCCTTGTATTGATTGCTCGGAACCATGTACCTGGAAAATTGAAGTGACAGTGTTCGAAGATTTAGTTGCTGTTGCCCCTGGAGAGTTAATAGATGCTCCTTACTACACTGAAGATTTAACACACAAGACCTACCACTTTTATGTCTCCCAACCAGTATCAGCCCCTTGTATTGGACTGGCTGTTGGGGCTTTTGAGATTTTTCCCGACCCACGGCTCTCCAACGGAGCAACACACTTCTGTCCGAATGGACTATTAAACCTTTTACAATACACAATATCTCCTCTCTCCGAAATGATCGAATATTACGAGTCTATATTGGCGTCACAGTATCCGTTTTCCACGATAAAATGTGTATTTGTAGATTGTGCTTTTTCGAAGTGTCAGTCATTCGCTTCTTTGATTATTCTCTCTCTTGATCTACTGCACTCACCAAGAGTTATTGACCAAGCGATCGAAACACGTAAAATGTTATCATTAGCTGTGGCCCATCAGTTCTTCGGGTGTTTTCTTATCATGGAGACGTGGTGTGATGCTTGGCTTACATACGGTCTAGCAGGATACCTATCTGGTCTGTACCAAAAACGCGTCTTTGGTAACAACGAGTATCGTAAAATTGTTCTTGATGAAATGCACTTCGTAACAGAGTTCGAGAATATGAGATATGGGATTGTACTTGATCCATCAAAATTGACTTCAAAGTTAACCTATTTTGATTTGAGCTCATCCCATGTAAGTAATTTAACTTTCATTTTACGTTCGATTTTTCGTTGTTATGATATTTTAGCGTCTCTAGTTTTGATTGTTCTGCATGTAAATACAGAAATTACCAGCTCACTACTAACTTCAGATACTTTAATCTCTAAGTACAGTGTATAAAACACTCAAACAAAATTCCCAGAGCGTCTGTTGTCGCCCTCAAGATAAGACAACCTAATAGCACTACTTTAGATTTTAAGATTCCCATGTATTAATACAAGCGTAGTAACTTTGACTTTGCCCTCAAAATCTTTGTTTTTTTGGATAACATCATTGTTTATCGGTTAAAGTACCATAACTTCCAAAGATAGTATTGCTTTTTTGATTCAGATTAACTAACTTCACGGACATTTAATTTTGGTAGTCAGATTAGTATCTGTTGAGTTCTTCCTTGATGAACTGTTTGGTGTTTTTAATCAAAACGATTTAAAAAAATAGTGGTTTGTAAATGTTTTCATGTATGCTAAATTGAGTTCATTATTATAGTTTCATAAACAACCATTGACATACTACCGGTTGATTAGATATTAACATATAGTAGTGCATGTTCAATCTCATTTGAAAAATATTCTAACCACCGATTGAGAATTCCGTAAACGCTTAAGTGTTGCCAAAAAACGTTTACAGTCTGAGTATTTTATAAAGAAAACTTATTTCTCTTATGTAAGTCTGGTATTGTCATTGAGTTGTTCTCTTTCAAAACAGATACTCAACCATAGCGTGTTAATTGATCACATAAAACCATGTAAAACTACAATGGGAATCCGTATTCTGAAAATGCTTCCGTGCTCTGTGGCTTAGACTTTTGGATTAAAAATTCGGGGGTGGACGACTGCACAAGAAAACCCCTACGCGAATTTGGGTGAGTGTGCAGTACCACTGTCCTTACGCAATTGATAATTTCGAATGAAGTTAATAAACAACTCATCTTGCACTCCAATCATGGCACTTTTCAACCGTAGTTATTTTATTATAAGTAAATTTGTTTCATGTTACCCTAACTTTCTATTCTAACTGACTGTAGCTGCCACCCTAACGTAGTGGTCGGGCTTAGTTATTGTTTGGATCACGTTTCTTAAAGTCCTACCATGCCAGGCAGGACGGTTTGGGAATGGTAATACTAAAAGCAGCAACTTAAGGTCCGGGAACAAAGTCCTACTTCCGACTGTAGACAGATGTAACTTCAGTAAACTGTTCATATCTAGCAACAGCATCCAAAGCGATCCTGTCTATTCACAAAGGAAGGAAGGGATCAGAAATAGTCAACCCTATATATGTCACATCTCACCTTACTTTCAGACTCTGGTTTCCGTAGTAAAGCATTTTGAAGTGTACAGCTAAGGCATCAAAAACCTCCCATAAAATGGCTGTTTGTAGACGGTTTCAAGCAGTTGTCTATTAGGTTCTGCAGTCGCTACGATCAACACTAATTCAGATTATTCTTCAGGTCCCACAAGAGGAAAACTCTATCCACAACGTGGGCAGCTGAGAAATGTTAACCGCCCTAATACCTCTCTCGGCACCCGAGATAATCTTTTTTACTATCAACCCCCCTCACCTCCTAATATTTCTCTTATCCTCACGACTAACCCCTCTCATTTATATTTCTCATCACGCACCAACAATATTAGTGATTTGAGTTCACGGAATGTTATTCCTGGTCTCCTGCAACCACGCTCTAGACTATGTGTTGGAGCTTTTAATGTCCGAACATTGTATCAGGTAGGACAACAGACTTCTTTAGCTAGCACTCTAGAATCTCGCGCCATAGATGTATGCTGCGTCTCGAAAACGCTCATACAGGATCCATGTACAGCCATTCATTTGACCTGACCTTGTCAATATGAAGAACGAGCATGATTTACCCACTGAATATCAGGAGACCCCACTGCTACTGTGGTGTGTACTACTTACATTGACATAAGTAGTATATGGTGTTAGTCATAAACAGAAGGTCTGGCAGCAGAGAGACAAGAGGATCTAAGAGTAAAGAATGGGAACAGAATGCAATTTGTATGAAAATGCAAGAACAATGAAGTCTGAGTCATTTTGAGACAATTGGTGGACATTTTACAAATTACGTATTTACTATTTGATTGTTAGATTTTATTAACAAGTCCTGTAATTTTGAGTCAAATACATTCGATTGTCCCCACCCGTGATCTGTTCACTACACTACATCACGTAGTCTCTCTGATATAGGTATAGCATTAAGTTGACACGCAGAACAGGCCCTTTTGGATTGGAATCCGATAGACAGTCGCTTGTGCGCTGTCCGACTAAACGGGACAGTAAGGAATCGAAAAGTTAGGAACATACGTTGTTTTCTTCTCGTTGTCTCTTCTTACACTCCCATTGATTGCATGTGATGAATTATATAGCACGCCATCCAACCTCGTAAAATCTAAATCTCGTGATGCAATGAGTGTGGGTGATTTTAATGATCCAAGTAGGTAGACTAAACGAAACAGGCAATTATCAGGGTCATACGGTATTTCATCTCAGCAAACAGATTATGGGGACGGCCTACTAAAACTATGCTCAGATAACCGTCTATTTCTAGCAAATACCAACTTTAAAAATGGAGAGAAACATCGTATGACGTGGCTACCCCGACAATCGACTAGTCGATGAATTCAAATAGATCATATTTCCAGCAGCTTAAACATAGGCTGATAAAAAGCGTATGTATTGATCGAGAGCAGTGGTGAGTAGCGAAGATAGCAGAAAAGATGGAAAATGCAGCAGTCAGAGATAACAGAAGACAACTGTTCAGACTTCTCGAAGAAACGGACATTAACAATACGGTTGTTAGTGAATTTATCTCGGAAAAGGATGGGACTATTACTCAATTTCAATCCATGGGATTAAATCGAAGGGCAGAATAATTTAGGGAACAGTTCAACTGGCCTTCAACCACACTGCGGTTACCCACTATCTTCAGTCAACCTGAATGGTGAATTGATGCAAGCCCTTCAAATCCTAGTGAGGTTGTGAAGACTACAAGCAATGTAAATGGAGGGAGATCAGAAGGGTGTGATGAACCAAATCTCGGGATTTTCAGGGATGATGGTCCAGTTTTAGCAGCTAAATTGACTGAGATCTTAGCTAAAACCTGAGAACCGAGTATAATCCTGTCTGAATAGTCTCTAACACTGATCGTTCCAGTCCACAGGAGAGGTTAAAAATTCTGGTGATAATCACAGAGGACTCAGCTTGACCAGTGTAGTAACTAAAGTATCAGCTCCAATATTAATCTGATGTCTAACTTGAGCTTGTAAAAAACAAACCTGAAAATAGCATGTTGCTCTCAGACTTAGGTATGGATTTATAGATCAAATAGTCACCCTTTGACAGGTTCTGTAACATAAACATACTTCTCAACGTCCGACAGTAGTGGTATTCCTTGACCTTTAGGTACTGTTCGACTCTGTCAGTTGTGGGATTCTTTAGCAGTGTCTGTCGTTGAGAGGCGTGTCAAAGAGTTAGATTAACCTTGTACAGACTCTCTACTCGAACACTACTGGTCGAGCCATAGCTTGTGGCGAACTGTGGTTGGGATTGATTACTTCAAGTGGTGTTCTTCAGGGTAGTCCTCTTTCCCTATTTTTACCTAACTTCGTTATTGAAATTCTTTTAAAAATGATGCTTTCGTCGCTTAATATTTTAGGGGTTAATTTTCTACCAAGAGGTACACTTACTTAGATGGCCGTGCCGTTCGATGAAGACGCTAACAAACTCAGCAGTCTTCTGATCCCCTTGAATAACAATGTCAGGGTGTTTAGAATGCGTTTCTCTTTTAATTTATGATGTATCTTCCGGACTGGCCTGTACCAGCTCCTGTATTAATAATCGGACGTGAAGTAGTTAAGCGTATCGACCGCTTCACTTATCTTAGTAGTTTCGTCAGTCTTGATAGGCCGGTGTATGATGAAAGCTCGGCATGGGTTCAGAAGGTTTGCTTGGTTTTTCCTATCCTGTGTCACTTGTGGCGTAGGCGTGATATCCGTTTGCCAACTAATGGAATGGTTTGTTGCGCAGCAGTTCGCTCCGCTCTACTCTATGGGTATAGAGTGTGGCCTGTTAACGCTGTTTTTGATGTAAGTACTTCCTTGTAATCCCTTTACTGTCATTCGTTTCGCTTCTTCTCATAACCTGTTACAACGATACTGGTGGACAAAACTCAATTCCCTAATTACTTTCGAAATATCCGGTTTAGTATCACTCTTATCTGTAATGTCTGTTTTCGTGATTCTAGTTAACCAACCTATACTGTTGATGACGTCTTTTTACAGTTGTTTTCGTATATAATCGTGAATCTCGTGGATAGGGCAGCGTATTAGTCTTTATATTAGTTTGTTACATAAGACTATCAAAACTAGGTAGTGCAAATTGTTAAAGTAAATCTATAGTAATTTCATCTTAATTTCGTTCTTGGTTCCACTTTACTAGCTGATATCACCGGATTATTTATCAGCCTATAAGAAAAAATCTCACTTAGTTATTCGTATGCTGGAATTGCGATTGGGACAACCCGTATTGCTTCAAGTTCTTAACAAGCTGCTTGTACTTGCTCGACTTTCGACTAAATCAATCCTCTCTTCTACAGATCGAAATCAGAGTCTGTCGGTCGGATTAGATGGATGTGGGAGAAACGAAGGTGATTCTGTTTCGGTAACTTCAAATACTCAACCTCAACAAAATCCTACAGTTCCTCCTTGTATGTCAGATGAACATAGAGCCAATATTCTACTATCTACAGCTTCATTTCGGAGGATTATTTCTATGGTTACAGGTCAGGATATCCGAAATTTCTTAAATCAGTGGGCTTGTCATGCTGGTCATGTCAGGATATTTGCTAAGTTTCATTTCAACCGTAAGCGGAATGTTGTAGAATTAGAATTGAAACAGGTGATCATTTTTCTATGAAGTGTAATAAAATTTTCATGTTTCACCAAAGGAATTTTAATAAACGGTTGGTGAGTGTAACTTTCTCTGATATTGGTCAGAGAATTTATAGGATCAGAAGTCTACTTAATATCTGTTTCGGACTTGTCAAAAGCCCTCACTCTTGACTTCTCCAGATTTAAGCACTGAATCTTCGAATTCCGTGACGTTTGAGCTTCTCTTTTAGAATCCGTCCATGATATATCAGATAGTGTTTTTTGTATGTAGCCTAGTAGAGATTGTGATGAGTTTTCATTATTCAATGTTTCTTTTCACTTCTGACTACTTCGACTTTATACACAAAGTATTCGCATTGTACCTAGGTTAGACGTATATCTCCCTAGCGTCGTTTTGAGGAACTATGAATAGTAATTAGTCGGTTACAAGCTTCATGTTCATCGACTGAGATGGTTGGGCCACGTGTTACGTATGCCCGAGCACCGATTACCACGATGTGCAATGCTAACCGGTGTTGTGGATGGTTGGAAGAAAGTTAGGGGTGGCCAAACCAAAACGTGGCATTAGTGCTTGAAGACACTAACATCTGGTCTGAGCCATGTTGGTAGATGCAAACTACTCAGTTAGGGTCCACGTGACTCATAACCAATGGTTGTAGACTCTTGGTGACATGGCTCAGAATCGATCACAATGGCGTAGGTGTATACACTGTCTGTCTTCCCTTAAACTAAGAGATTAAAATCGCTTCATATCTTCCTTTCTATATACTAAATCTTTCTTCCTGTACTATATCCTTATATGCAATCTTTCTCCTATATATTACCACCATTGACTTAACTACTCCTATGAATCCGGTGTTCATCACGTTGTGCCAATAAGGTATGGCAACTTGGACCGATGCATGTATGTCCCTGGTCCTACGTTAATTACATAGTATTAATTGGTGAATCTCTTTAAATCGATTACTTCCCAACCAGTTCGGTAGTAACATGTTTACAATGAAAGATACTATTGACTAAATAACTACTTATTCAAAAGTATTAATTAATAATTAAATACATACGACTTCCGTTTGCTTCTCTGGTTTATTTTTTGCCTATAACTTCAAGTAGTATAAAATTCTAATATTACCACTAACTAATTATTATGAACAACAACACTCTTATTGTTGATCTTCTTTTTATGAATGAGTGACTATGTAGAAAAGACTGCAGCATCATGGTCTAATGGATATGCAATTCATAAAACGTGTTACTGCCGCTAGAATAGCATTTTATCACCCTTTCTCCGGATTAGGTCCTTATATCACTTATCAACTTCGCGAAGCGTAGCCAAATGTAATTTCTATTACACAACTGACTCAGCTAAGTACGTATTCTTTAAATTCTCCACAAACCCTCCTATACTAATAACAAACATGCGCTCACTAGTGACCAGCATGAAGATGCGACTCTTGGGGATCTAGTGAAAGCCCTGACCATTGGAGTTAAACTGTGTCGATTGTTGGACAGTTATCCGTTGCAGGCAATGGATGGGGGTTGTGCAGCATCGTCAATTGATTTAAATTAGACATTAATACCGTCGGATATCGTCACAGTGATCCAGAGGTTTGGCGCACCACTAAGGATCCCAACACTAGGACGAAACGGTTGTCCAGTATTTCTAGGATTTCAATAGTGGTCTAACTAAGATCACTTCGTTGCATTAACTACGAAAATTCCCCTCGTAAGTTCAAAGTAGACTCTCTGATACAGACGGTTCACACTACTTATTTTTATATAGAATTTCAGAACTCACCAATATGGTGTAATCATTTTTTCGAGACTTCCATCAGTGACATATTCAGGGTCTCATAGAAAAATTTGTTAGTCTTACTAATTAGTTTATTATAAACACTACCTGCACTTACAAAACAATTGTAGCCAGTTCCTGAATCGTCGTCTTATTCGTTTCGTAGCCGTCTCTATGGATTTAGCTAGAAAAGCTAAACTATTAAAGCTGAACTTGTTGGCTTAACGTTCGTTTGAGCTGAGACCACTTATTTGGATTCAGTTTGAAACGAACGACTCTGACCAACAGTTCCGAAGTGTATATTTCGTGGAAACTGACAGCTGTTTGTGACAATAATCCTAAATATTAGGTTTCTCAGTATCAGTACACTTTTAAGATGTATAATAATTTTGTTCGACCTTCATTTTTAATCAATACTAAGACCAAAACTTGCATTACATATTACTGTGAGGGATTAAACATTTAAAAATTAAATTAAATTTTAGGATCTACAATCCAGAGGGACTCTGAATTATACTGGACCAATTACAGTTATGCTCCAAGAATTGGATGGAGCGTTTATTCATACTTTCAAATTAGAAGAAGGCCGTATGTCTCGTGATTTACCATGTCATTCCAAAAGTCGAAAACATCGTAAAAAGAAAATTTCGTTAGCCAATGGCGATGAAGTTGATATGGATTTAGCTCGTATTGATCCAGAATCACCTTTACTCTGGCTTCGAATAGATCCAGACTTAGCTATTATACATGATATTCACGTTGATCAACCAGACTTTATGTGGCATCTTATGTTGGCTCATGATAGGGATTGTCTCGGTCAACTGGAAGCAGTAAATGCTCTCAAAGATTTTGCTTCTCCTGAAACGCGTCATGTTTTAAGTAATATTATTTTAAATGACAGAATTTTTTATCATGTTAGAATGGAAGCATGCTTTACATTGTGTCATGTTGTGAACGAACTGAGTACTCTCAGTAACAACCCTACAGCAGCTTCGGCTACAGTAACTTCTTGTTTGTTGCCAATGTTTTGGCAGTTGTTTAGTTCACCAGCAGCTCGTGGTTTAATTCGTCAGAATAATTTCTCTAATTTACAACTTTATTTTCTTCAGAGAGCTATGGTCAAAGCTTTGTCAACTTTGCGTGTGCAACAAGTCTGCCCTCATGATATACTGATTTTCATTAGTGATTTATTAAGACATAATGATAACTCGCGTAATCCATATTCTGATAGTTATTACCTTGCCGACCTTGTAAAGGCAATGAAAGATACTCTGACACCTGCAATTATTGTTCGTGGGGTAATGTCTGCCTCGACACTACCTTTTGAAGCCCGTACTGTTATCGAAGAAGTTTCTCACTTGTTAAACTTGGAAACAGAAACAATTAGTTATAAAGGTACTGTAACCGTTGTCTGTTTAGCAGCTATAAGACGGCTACAACGACTTGGATTTTTACCCATAGATCCAAGTTTGTTTTACCAATATGCTTTGTCAAACTTTTATTGTGATATCAGAGTAGCAGCAATCGAAGCTGTTGTGGATTATATCAGAGGTGAGAGAGATCAGTCAGCATTAGACTGGCTTTTTAGCAACATTATAGAACGAGAAGATGCCAGTGACGCTTCATATGTTCGCCTACGCTTTGAAGCTGTGCAGTTATTACTACGCATGCCACCATTTCAACGTGGTGAGTCGGGTAGTCGATTAGATACTCCTCAATTAGTTGAAAGACTTTGGACACTGATGAATTATGGATGCACCGGTGATCCACGACTTAGATGTGCAGTCGCTGAACTCTACTACACACTTTATGGTAATCGTCGCCCAACTTGTCTTCCTCTTCCAGAAGGTGTGCTTTTAGTGAGAGTCAAGGAAGGGAGATCTGTACTTAATATATCTGAAAACAATTCTAAAGCTAGTGAAATAGACTATACTGATGAACTGAACAAATATAAATCTGAATGCTTCGGTAGAGGAATTCCTCTTTCGAAAATGCATCCAGAATACGAAGAATTAGAAGATAACTACTCGGAGTGTGAGATGTTGCACGCAAATACTATGAAGTTAGAAAGAGATTCAATCCAACGCCCCACAGTGTCAGAATTCAATCCTCAATTTGATCTAAAGCGAAGCAGAACTGGAAATTTCTCAGAATTGAATGATTCGTCGAACACTTTCAAAAGGCGAACTGAACGTCTAAGTGATGATGAAGATGATTAAGGTAAACGTAAGTTAACTGATTTATGAAGTTTTTAGTCTTAATAAGTGCAATAATTTGTTTGTGTCTCGATTACTTTTTTTTCATGAACTTTGTGTGAAATACGTTGTTCGACCGATAAATTATTCACCCACGAACATAGATTTTGTGTATGATTTCATGGGTGTATTCAATTAATTCATTCTTCTGTCTGTAATAAATGTCCGTCACGTTTCACCCCTTTACTTGTCGCTTTTTCAGATGATAAATAGACCCGACTTACGATAACTCAGTAAAGTAAAACTTAAGTTTGTCTTCTCAAATAATACAACTGTCATGTTTTTCCTATATTTCCATCTGTTTTGAAATGGAAAGTTTTCGTGACCTTTAGTCCAAACAAAAATTTACGACCCTAACTAAGTTGAAAATTTTGAAGCAATTTACATATACTGGCACATAGAAATTTGTGCATTTTTACATACTCCATGACTAGTCTATGAAAATGATTTTGGTTACTGGTTACCTGTTAATAATACGATTTTTCTGGATTGTTTTTACCAATCGACAAACATAATATAATGTGTTATGTTCTGTTCTGAAAGAAATTAACTTTTTTTAGCATCTCCATGAATTTTGAAAATAGTATAGGCTTACTGAATTCAGTATTGCTTGAAATGAACAACTTACCCTTGGCTTCAAGTGATTCAACCGTCTATGGTAGTTTTTCTGTATAAATAAATATATATATATATATATATATATTTCTGAGCACGTTATGATTTGCTTCTTTTATCACGTTTTAGAATATTGAATACTGAACTGGAGATCTTCGTTTCGTACCTGTTTACTGTTTTTCATGTGGATGTAACTAATCATTCATTAGTCTGTAAATATCTGTACATATACATTGAACTTTTTATTTTTAATAGTGAAATGAAGCTTATTCGTTTTGATTTTACTTGAGAATATGTGCGTGACTTTTAGGTTGGGATTAAGCATGAGATTATGGATTGATTTACCATGATGTTCGTTTATTACCTAATAATTCCAAGCATAGATTAGTTCAGTACGGTATTTGTCTATGCTAAGGTTGTTTAAATTTAACTATTTATCAGTTATAAGTAAGTTCGTATATAAATGAGTACCTTTAGATATTGCTTTGGAAATCTAGTATTTGAGTGTGAAGAAAAATTTAGTCCCTCATATGAGTGAATCCATATTTCGCCTGTGTCTGTTTTACTGAGTAAAATATTGACTTGATGCTAGTAGTAGGACATACTCGATATTGTCTGCAGGCTGTGTCTAGTAAGATTACTAGTTAGTAATAGGAAGTGATTTTGTTTAATTATAAATATATACAAGTTTTAACTGTAATCAATAAACTAGTAGATGGGCTTTATTCACTGAAATTTCTATTCCCGTAAACATCCGTCTGTCATCTACAACGTCTGATCAGGCACATATATACATCGGTCGAAGTTGCCATACCTCATTAGCACAACAGGATAAACACCGAATACATAGAAGCAGTTACTTTAATAGTCGTAATATATGGAAAAAGATTGCACATAAGGATATAATACAGGAAGAAATAATTAGTTCGTAGGAAAAAAAGTCATAAAGTAATTTACTCTCACGATCTAAGGGAAGACAAAGAGTGTATACACCTACGCGATTGTGATCGATTCTGAGCCATGTCACCCGGAGTCTCCAGCTACTGGTTATGATAGTCACGTGGACTCCAATCACATAGTCTTCATCTATCAGCATGGCTCAAGCCGGAAGTTAGTGACTTTGTGGATTGATGCCATTTTTGGTTTGGTCGCATCAACTGATTTACCATCATTCCCTAATACCCTACACTTCTAACCTCACTAATACTTACTTGGTGATCCCAGCAGATGCGAGCAATATTTCTAAGACATCTGTGATCAAATACTAGTAGCTTACGAGTATCTTCTACTCTGAATGGCCAGGTTTTGCAACCGTAAAGCAGTACAGAACGAACTGCTGCTCAATATACTTATCTTTCAACTGATAGACGGATGTTTCACCTTCACCATATGTGACGCAAGTTTGCAAATGTGAACTTTTAGAATCCATGTTGAGATTTTATCAGACACCCATTAGGGCTGACCAGACTTCCAAAATAAGTGAAGTTGTCGACGCGTTCGATTAATTCACTCCCTATCCTTAGTTCAGGTGTTGACGCAGGCCAGTCATGAAGTAACACTTGCATTAAGAGGGGGGGGTGAGAAACGCATCCCAGACGTCCTAGAATTGTTGCTCAGTGCTACCAAAAGACTGCATTTTATCAGCGTCTTCACCAAACATGACTTTCATCTATGTATTCTAAATCAATAAGTGAACATCTTGGTAGGTGATCAGTTCCTGAAAATTCAGTCGGCGAGAACGTTGTTTTCGGCAGCAGGTCTATGATGAAGTTCCGCATAGATGGAGAAAGTGGACAGCCTTACCTGACACCACTCGAGGTTGCAAAATCAGATGATAATTATTGAGGCCAGTATTCTAGACGCTATATTAGTCAAACTAATCCCTCTATGGTTATCACAGGGAGATTTTGATCCTTTCTTGTATATTGGGACAATCAATAATTGCGACTAGTCAGATGGGATTACGTCTAGTTCCCATATTTTAGCTAAAATATTAGTCAACCTAATCGCTGAAACTGAACCACTACCCTTAAAGACTTGGAGGCACTCCATCTCAACCAGCTGCTCTCCCTAGTTTCAGATTACCATAGCTTTTTGAAAATCAATCAAAGCTGGGTGGCCTATCTCAATGCTTATCCAGGCTGTTTGAAAATAGCGGGTAACTGAATTGCTCCTTTTTTAGGTCTTAGTGACCTGAGAGTGTGACCACAGCGCCAAAGGGACAACCGCTTGAATTCAGTCACACACGACCTTACTGATCAATTTTCGTGTTAACTCCGTACTTGTTGGGACCCTACGACCGGGGACGGAAACCTGTGGGATAAGGCCAGGTGTGTGTTTTCAGTTTCGACTCCACCCTTTGTGGGAAGGCAGTATTTCTGTTGTGCTGTGTTTTTAGGAATGCACCTTACTGCCGTCACACTTCTGTACAGTCAACAGCACAACTTCGGATCTCGGATTTATTGCCTTTAGTCTTACCGTTCTTCAGTCTACCTGCTTGGCATAGTAGGACCTTGGGGAACGATTGTTCCAGTTGTGATAGCCAAATCTGACCACTACACGGTAGCAGCAAAGGTTGGATTCCGTAAAAGCACTCATCCCTTAATAGTACAATATGGTTTAATATTATCTTTTGACGTCCATACATTTCCAAACAAAACCCATCACCCTGTAATGTTCTCTGGAAGAAACCGTATGGTACGTGATCACTTGTAAGCTTTCCGAAAGAAAAATTGGAATATTTTCCTTTTTGTAAACCTGTCCTAAATGTCCTCAAGGATTCGGACGAGTTTAATTAGTACAGTGAATACGAGTAATATCTTTTTACCAAATAACGTGCGTTTACCTGTCGTTTATGTGCTGTATAAATCTCGTCAATTAAATTTGTGAGTACTCCATGTTGATTATCCTACCAATGTGATTCAGAAAAAATAAAATTCAAAACAACCATTACACCTTCATGGGTTATTTACATTCTAAAAAAATGGTTTGATGAACACGCCTGTTTGAGAGTGAAATTTCTATGTGAATTCTCCGTATTTTTCATTCTTTGTTTTCAGATGGTCTTTCATATCGTTATTCAATTAATAATACACACTGAGAAGTAAATTGCCTATTAGGTTCCCTCCAGAAAATATATTTTATCGAAATATCCTTGTAGTGTGACATCGAGTCACGGTTCACTATGATCACCACTACAGGAAGACTACGTTCCAGATGACCCGTAAGCCAAATATTAGAAGGCAGTTGATTGCTGTAGTCGAGATGTATTTGTTGGCGATCTCGTGGTATCGAAAGAATACCGAGATCGTGCCAGGTTACAAGTGTGGTTACTGAGCGTAACCGAATTCGTACAAGGTCACAATCAAAGGAAGAATGTATGTATTTTTGGTACATTTAAACAAACAACTACGGTAAAACAATCCCTGATACAATTGGTTATAATAATAATTGTTTCCATTAAACCAATCGCGTTCTCTTGATAAAAGTAGGTCACTATATCCCTTAAGTCTATGGTATCTTTGCTACTAGTAAATTCTAACTCATGGAATAGACTATGTAATCCTCTCGTTCATGAGTATTCTTTTGGCCTAACCTCAATACTCCAATAACCGTTGAATTCGTGATCGTAAAAGACTCAAAACATGGGATGAATAATTATTATATTTCTAGAAAGTACAGTAATTAATTAAAGTTTAACCAGCTCTGCGAGAGTTTAACATCCAACCAATTGAAAAAAGTACACCTAATATTCCTAATCATTCGTAATGCAAATAAATCAAATACCAAACATCTTGATTATATCTGCGTATTTTCCGTAATTTAGCTGGCAGATGAAAACTTACATAACAGTTGTAGAGTTGAGGTTAACTATGAACACCGCTACCAAGAAACACATGCCAAGTAAATCAGAAGGCGAAGGTTGAACGTGACCAAATAAATCCATAAAATCCCCGAGAAGCCAAATATCAGAAGGCAGTTAATGGACCAAGTCGAGATATATTTGCTGGGGATCTCGTGGTATCGAAAGGATACCGAGATCGTGCCAGGATACAAGCTTGGTTACAGAACGTAACCGAATTCGCGCGAAGTCACAATCAAAGCGTAAGAATAAGAATGGAAGCACAATATAGCTGTCATTAGCACAGTCAAACAAAAGCACATTAAAACAAACACTGGTACAGTTGGTTATAATAATGATTGTTTTTATTAAACAAGTAGTGTTCTCGTGATAAATGTGAGTCACTACACAGTCTTTCTACGAAATCGTCATCAAAACGGAAATGAACGCTTGAGATGTCTAACTGTTTTATCCTGTTTTGCAGCGTTTTTTCATCTTTAAAAGATAAACTCGATTAGTAAACTGAATATTTTGAGAAGTTATAATCATAAACCATTTTCGGTTTCTAGACTTTTTCTGATAGATTATAATTTGTATTCGTATTCGAAGATAGATAGTTACTGTCATAAATCTCACCTAATATTTTAACCTAATCCCAATGTATGTATATGGTAAGCCATACCGAATAGTTCTGATCTAGAAACATTTCTTCGAATTTCTTCATCATCAGTCGCAATTATAGAAGCTAAGAAACATAAATCGAATTATCATTACTATTTACATGAAATATTCCGTGCAAGCATCGATTGATGTTCACTACTCAAACTTCTTTCACTGATTTACTGACAACGGTATTCCAAATAGTAAAAAATAAAAATGATCACACTTCTGTCGGTTAATTACGTCGAAATAGTTACTTGTTAAAATAAAATCTCGACATAGTTTTATGCGGAAAATTCTTTAATACTGTAAAATGTGGATTTTTGAAATATCTAATAATCTCAAAATAATTTTGATTATTATTGTAGTGAACGAGAACACAAATGGGGACAATGGAATGTATTTAAATACAAAATTGCAGAAAATCTTAGTAAAATCTGAGAACCATACAGTAAATACTTCATTTGCGAAATGTCAGTCAATCGTCTCAGACTTCATTGTTCCTTCGTTTCCACATCAATCATTCTCTGTTCTCGTTCTTTTTTCTTTGATCTTCTTAACCTTCTGCCTCCAGGCATTTCACTTTCGATTCATGATACATAATACTTATGTCTGTCGACATCAGAGGCACACACCATACTATTAACCAGTGATTGGAATGACTTAGGAAAAATACAAACCTAATGCTTGTGCTTTATTTATTCTTTGATCCACTTGATTATTCTGTTAATCAAAGTACACTTAAATAATTGTCAATCATATGAATTACTAAATTTAGTTTGGTTTCAGAAGATTCATTAGTAGTTGTTAACCAATAGATAACATATGTTCCCTAAGATGAATAATAGTTATTTTCTTTATCTGTAAAATCGACTACTTACAACAAGATAAGCTGCACTTTTTTTACTTGAGGTTGCGAAAACAGCATCAGCTCTCTTAAAACATCATTTTTGGTTAAGGTTTTGATGGTTCAAGATTTAACTGAGCTGTTGATAACTTACTTACTTAGGCATGTTGACCCTCATAGGGCATAAGCCTCCGACTACAGATCTCCAAGCATCCTTGTCCTGCGCGTTCTGTTTCCGTTGTTAAGAAGTGATACTCATGATTTTGATGCCTCTCAATGTGTTTTGGCTTGCCTCTTTCTCTTGAGGATCCCAAATTAGGGCTTGATTTTAAATAAAGCTTTATGGGTTTTTCTGGAGTAAACAAAATGTTTTTTTTCAGTTGCCTCTATTTCCGCCTTTAGTACTTCAGTTGGTACGCAGGCTAGTCTTACTGATATGTTATTACCGATTTGCTTTATAGCTTTGAATATAGATTTGCTAATCCCTCATCATTTATTCGTTTCCAACAGTTTATATTACTTCATGATACGTTCGTGCTCAAAGTTGTCCATCACGACCTTAGCGTTTAAATACTCCATTAGTATGATCATGTCTTTTTCTGTAATTTTCTCTAGGTAGGACTGAAAAATTATAAAACAGTTCTTTGCCCTTTTCGGTGCTACTATTGGTGGATCCGTTGCACTGGATGATATTCATTGAAGTTCTTCCTCTTTTTCTTTGAAGGTTGATGGATGATTCTGGAGTATTGAGTTTCCGTTCCGATAAGCACTTTTTGTACTTCTGTGGACAACGTCACTCCAACTCCTCGTTCGTTTTGGGGAAGTTTCTCCTTCATGACTGGAATACAACATCTCTCCTGATGTTAGTATTTTCTATAGAGATTGTATCCCATGTGTTCCACTTATTACAACCAGAACCAGGTTGTATCTTCACATTCTTACAAACAGTTGAATGAACCTCCCGCTCTCTTGCATTATTCGTACATTTCATGTCTCTATGTTCACTGTTCCTCTTGTTTTCAGAAGGGGTTTCGAACTTGTGACTTACGGAAACTGCTAGCTTTCACCATGAAGTGTCATAACTCTTCCATTTACTCTGGTCAGAGATTTCGTAGGATCATTTTACACTAGCTCGAGCTGGTAGCCGAATCCTAAGCCCAGTTCCCTTACCCTAGCTTGGGACCAATAGTTACCGTAGACAAGTTCTAGGAATTGGATATTTTTAAAGTTAAAAATGTTCAATAAATCAAAATTCACATTCGTAATTACTGTATGCTTCCAGAAATACGAGTTATTTGTCTCATGCTTTTGAATCAGTTTGAGTTTTACGTTTAATCGTACAGTCGCATGTTAACTAAAAATACACTCAAATTGACATGGTAATTGTTCTTAATATTGATCAGCTATTAGATCCCAAACTTGTGCTGATAAACTACTTTTTTTAAATAATTTTTAGCGTTCTCATTAAGAATCTAAACCAATACTACTTAGCTTACAACTGCTTTGAAATAATCTCAACAAACAGCCTAGCGTATAAACAAAATTTCTATAAAGTAAGCAGCTAAGATTTTGATAGATGTAATAGATTCATGCAATAACGAGATTTTATTGAGCTACAACTGAACTAGTATGAATGGTTGTCAAAATAGAGTGGACAATATTATTTAATTTGTAGTCAATAAATAATACACATTTGAGATTATCCAAATCACATACTTTTAGAAAATTAGGTAATATATTCTTTACCATAAATCTGTTTGATTAATTAATTAGTCTATGAGTTCCTTTTTTAAATTATTTTTATCGGTGTATTAGTACATATTGAGAAGTGAAGGTGAATGTAATGAATGCATTCAATTAACATTTATTATTGAATAAACTTTAAAACAATAAATGACTTAATAAATGATTATAATAAACAATAAAATGCATTCAAAATCTTCTATTTATCTTTTAACATATTCATTTAGAATTATTGTATTAAGAAGAGATTAACAAATTAATTGTTTTTACTTGGCATTTATTCTCTTATTTAAAAAATGAAACATTTAATAATAATAGTTTAGTTTTAAAAAAGACAATAGTTATATCTTACTAAATGTCATGACTACGTGAACAATAAATTCCTATTCATTGTTTCTTTTTTTTTCCTAAAAAGAAACATACTATTCATGATATTAAGAATAATACTACTAATAGTAATAAATTCATGTTCATAAAACTACCAATTACATGGTTACATCTGAAATCTAATTGGTTCATATTTTTACTTATTTAATTTAACAGTAATTTTTGAGCATTGTCTATGCCTAATGTTCATGTAAATTAATTTTTTTTAGTGATAAAGGAAGGAAACGTTTTCAGAATATATTTTTTCTCTGGTATCATGTTATTAATATTGATTTTGATTACATCAAGTAAGTTGTTTCATAATGTTTCAAATTTTGTTGTTGTTGTTGTTGTTGAAAATCGTTTCATTCTCATTTATTATTAAATGTAAACTAGCAACTATCGAAACATAATAAACAATTTGTAGAGGTTATATCAAATAAAAAGCTAAAACATGAAAATTGTAATCCAAAGAGTATCAAGAGTTATTCTTTGACTACTTTGATGATGTGATTCTTTATAACTTTGTTTTACCTCTAATTTTCATTACTGTGTAGTTGTTTCCTCCTAATTTCGGCTTTTTCAATAATATACAGCAATGTAAGAGATGTCCAGTGCTCACTGGTTTACAGTGCTTTTTTTCCCAGCTGAAGTCAGTCAGTGAAAAAAATGCTTTAAAATTGAACTGTCCGTATTAACAATTAAACCAAACAATACACACTTTAGCCCAATGAACTATTGAAGTGAATTATAAAAAACCAATATTTCAAATGTTTATTATCATTGTTAGACATGTTTTGAACTTATTCTAAGATTGAAATAATTTAGAATATCTTATGTCATTTAACTTTTCTTATTTCATCTTAAGTATACGCTATCCCGTTAGATTTTCCTTGTTATGATGATACATGGTTTTTTTCAAACGAAACGGGAAAATGTTATAAACCAATAATGGGAGCACAGAAATTACCGTTTTCAAATGCTTCACAAGCATGCAAAACATACTTGCAAAATATTTCAAAAGTTTCAATAAATTTAGTAAAATTATCTAATGAAAATGAAGCTGATGCATTTGTGAAGTTGTTGTCTGAAAATGCTTTTAAAGAAACAATTTGGATTGGAGCTAATCGTAGTGGTAAGATATTTTCAAATGTATTTATTTACTTTTTATTAGTTTGATTAGGATTTATAAAGTTGAAAGCAATCTTAGACTAAGACAGCATGAAAATTTGATCATTCTACATAAACTACGTGGTTTCGAAACTTCTGTCCATATAATCATGACGGTTGTCAGTGTCAGTATAATCCTTCATAAATAAAGTCAGTCTGATATCTGAAAACATCAAACTGACTTCACACAACACCGTTTACACTCAGTTCTCATATTCTGGTGATTACTTTATTCAATGAGATAATAAGATAGTTAACTTTATTGCTAACTTCTGAACTTTACCATACAAATTATTTTACCACTAATGAATACAAACTGATTGATTGGGTACAGAAACCTGAAGTGTTTTTTTTCTTACAACTAATACTATAGACTTTACACTGATTACATTGAAGAGTGTATTGGTATTTCAAATATTTGGATTTTTCTAAAACATGTATCACTGCACAGCATTTGTATTACAATCTACGTTAGTCCTCTAATAGTCACTGAAAATAAGATTTGTAAGATTACTTAACTAGTGTATAAATAAAGGATACAGTATTCCACCAGTTCAGTTAAAAGGTTCAATTGGTGGACATAGCTTATTTTGATGTATTTAATAATGTGTTCATCAATCAAGTAAATCCATAATGCAAAGTTGCAAACACAAAACCCATCAAAAATTAACTAAACATTTGAAGTCTTATAAAATAATATTGGATAATATAGGATATTATTAGGATAAACTAGTATTAACTCAGTGAATGCACTGGTCTTTAATGACTAACGACAGTATTTTTACGTTGACTTTTCGGTCAAAAGACTTGATATTAGTTGTACTAAACGTCAACTGAATAGGATTGTTTTAAACTCATATTTTAGATGCGAAGCAACCATTTATTTGGTATATGGATGGTAGTACAGCTCTTTTCGACTACACTGATTGGTCTCAAGGAACGCAACCAGGAGATTGTATTGGCTTCTCATATACAACTCAACCAATATCTGGAACCGATAAGTGGACTATAGTTAAAACGATCGATAATAAACCATGTGATATGATGCGTTCATTCATTTGTGAACATAAAGGTTTGTTAGCACATAGTGATTTATTATAATATATTTTCAGTGTAAATATGAAAATTGAATTCTTAGCTTTAATTATTTTATTATAAGTAAATTGTCATAATACTCAGCATTAATTTGAAATCATTAAAGCTGAATATAAAGTATTTTGCATAATGTTATGTATTGCTTTTACTTTCCCTTTAACATTATGATTCCGTAGTTTGACAGAGAAATGTTCTAAAAACCATAGTTTCTGTGCTCAATTTTTTATGTACAATAATAAATAAAAGACATTTGGTGATAGTTTTAATTACCGATTTATTTAAACTGGGAAGCTTTCAAAAACGTATATGCACTGAAATAGCTTTTTGTTTAGTTTGATATATTATTGACACCGGCAACTTCACATAGGGTTGAAATCAACGCTTTCCGGTCTGACGGTTAGTTAGATATTATTTAACCTATAAATCGGAATGCCATAGCTGATATTTTTAAGATGATGAAGATTTGTAGCTCAAATGGATGATTTTGGTGGAGTTTTGTTCTCCAAGCTGGATAGCTTGATTGTGGGGCTTTCATCATTCTTCTGAACAGCATCATCAACACGAACTGCAGGTAGCAGTGAAGTGTTCGAAAGTGTATCGACTAGAAAAATGTTGGAATCTTGGATAGAGGGATTTCTAACGACCCCAGAATTTTTAGAAGCTTGGCATTCAGGTCAATCGGCATTCAGTAAACACACTGAAATCGACCCAATCTATCAAACAATCATAAAAATCATAGACAAATATAGGACCAACAATCAAACCAATAGGATATACAACCAAAATAAAGAAGTAAACAATGACAGATTAAAGACCAACAATAACCAATCAAGATCAAAGTCTACAGAACAAGCTGTAAGTCATATGTGAAGAAATTCGAACACTTCACTTCTACCTGTAGTTTGTGCTGATGATATTGTTCAGAAGAACGATGAAAGCCCACGATCAAGCTATCCAGCTCAGAGAACAAAACTGCACGAAGATATTTCTAAATTTAGCCAATTGATGGTATGGTACGACTCTGATAAAAATATAATCACTGGATCATTATACTACGCTATGCCACAAATTACAGTTTACCTATGGAGTTTTAAGCAATCCACTCCGAAGATACCTGTCAATTAGTACTAGATTATTATTTGAATAAATAGTCTTGTAAAGATCAGCTGAAAGTTAATATTTATCACAAACTATCTCCTATGAAACCTCTTATCGGAGCTTTGTTTAAATTATAATCTCCCTCTGGTTCATCCAAGTCCATGGCTAAAATCAAATTAATCAAAGTCCTATACACTTCTAATTGCTCAATAGATAATATCTTCCTAATATAAAACCTCCTTTTATACTTCTTTATTTTTCATCAATTTGGTTTAGTTCCACTTTGTACAAATCCACCAGGAGGCTTTAATCCAACTACAATGATCATAAAACCATCTGTCATGGCTCCAAGATCTATTGTACAAGTACAATGTGCACCTGGTACATCAAAAGATCCTATTACATCTAATAACCGATTATCCGGTTTTGATGTGGATTTAAGCTTATCAGAAAATTCATATAAATGCACAGGGAAACGATTTAATAATAATCCGAATCCTGAAGATCCTTTAAAGTTTCAACCACAACTATTCTATTCAGGCTATTTACTACCAACATGTTCATGTAAGTGTTTCAGTCTAAATAAGTTAATTTTAAAAAAGTCTAATTATTTACTTATTTATTTTTATATTTATGTATAAACAAAATTATCATAGATGTTATTATTTAAAAGAAATTGGTAAATTTTAAGGTAGTAGCCTTTGTTTACAAGATGAAATATTCATTGTTCAAAATAAATGGTGTATCCTTAATGTTTTTTTAAAATTCTACTTATTATTATTATTATTATTATTATTATTATTATTATTATCCGTATAGTATAAACTTCAGATTATCTCCCACCAAAAACTTTATCAGTTGGCTTAGAATAGACTTATGATAGTTGTTTGGAGGAGACTCTGACAAAATACAGAATCTTCTGATCTCCTTGAGCAAAATATCGAACGTTTTAGGGATGCGCTTTTCTTCATCTGAATGACAAATGCTGCTTCAGGATTGGTCTGCATCGACGCCTGAACTGAGATTTTTTAAAAATAATTTGTTGACATCTTCGTCCGCTTCATTTAATTTAGAAGTCCTATCAGCCCTGTTAACTTGGTGTCTGATGAAGTCTTCGACATAGATTTAGAAGGGTAGGCTGACGTCTGTCAGATTATTTTGCTAGATCACGCATGCCTTCAAATTGTTATCCTTGCACTTTGAGAACAACAAGTGAAAAATACTGAAGTTAGACACAGGGTTCTAGGCAAAAATGGGAAATCAATTGGTAAGATAGTGAATATTCATTGACTAAGGTGGCTAAAAATGTACCGCATATACTCATTCCCAGCCTAACTTGATGCTCGATGATAGCTAATGATGGATTGATTCGGGAGAAAGCTGGGGGTGGCCGAACCCAAGACACGATATCAGTCTATAAAATATGTGAGTGTTGAACTGGAGCACACAGATTACCTGGTTGTGGTTCACATGATTTTCGTAACCAATGGTTAAAGAAGTTGAACCATGTGGCTGAGAATCGATTACATTGGTGTAGATAGTTTCATTCTCTGTCTTACATTAAATAATAAAATTCAAAATTATCTCACAATTTTTTCACTGCACAAATTCGTTTATTATTTTCGAATCATATTATCTATGTCTAATTTTTTTGCTACTGCTGATAGTGTTACCAATTTCACTACATTGGAAATGTTCTTGACAATTTCATCTCTCTGTGTTAACATGATGTGATAACATGAATCAATAAACACATCTGCCAAGTTGCAGGTTGCAAATGACTAACTAATTGTTATCATCTGCATAACTGTTAACGCATATAATAGCCATTAAGTGATTTTCAGTATTCATTCTGCCAGTGGACTAAATACATGTACTTTATCACCAATTTCATAATTTGTTTAATTCAGTAAGCATAACATAAAAAGATATAGCCTTCAAGGTGTTACTATATAGTTTATGAATTCTCTAATTGAGTTGTAGCTTCTATTCTAACAACTTTTAAGAGTAGAATAAAATTTTAGAGAATTTAATTTCTTACATTTGTACATATCTCATGTGACATTACTCGATTCAGTTATTTTTAAACTGTACTGCTAAGTGTGTGTACTTGTACTAAATTTCATTTAAATTTGACTAACCTATCATGGGCATAAGAATAATCGCGAAATATCTTATAAAGATTTGAAAATGAAATTAGGTAGTATTTCTTACCGTTTCTCAATTTACTAGCGTCAATATTTTGTTTCAATACATCTATTTTATTCTAGTTGTATCACTGGTCCTTATTCAATAGGTTTAACTCAGTATTTACTAGACAAAATGGTATTCTCTAGAATGATTACTATTTCATTTGATTTCGTCTTCAATTATGAATCTCTGTTCAATAATTTTTAATTTTATTATCGGAAGTTATTTCACTTTTTAATAGGATGTTTAAAATTGTAATGGCTTCCGATTTCCAATGGATAGTTACTGTAATTTTCATCTCTTTTAACTTCAAATTAGTAAGACATGAACAAGCAGTATATCACTAGCTGAAACTACTATAAATATTACATGTTAAAAATAAAAAAACTCAACAAAATATTCATTCACTTACAGTGTAAACTTTATATCTTATCTACTACCCACGAAAAGTTAGTGAAATGGAAAGCTGATAGGGGTTTAGTGTCAAGTGCATTTGCAGAACAACTTTTGTTATATTGAACAATCAAGTAAATATTTAGACTAAAAGAAAATTTATCATTCGAATAGATCGTCGATCTCGGTAATCTGTAAGTTATTTGTTAAATATTCCCCTTATAAGTCTCAATTACTAATCTTCTTGAGAAATCCCGACTTGATTTAGAATAATTCGATCAACTTAAGAACAAACCGGTTAACTGTTCATTAAAATTCTGATATTTAAAAGGTGACGTGTTCAGTTATTTACAGTCTCCAAGATTCCCTACATTTATGATGAAAACATTTAACTGAAAGTAGTCAAATTAGAGTCCTATATCGTCGATTTGTTACTACCATCCAGAAGTTATTGATTGTCTGTCCTCTCTTTTCCCCTGTTTTTCTGGTTTACTCTTTTTCGTCTTCTCGTTCGTCTTGTTGATCTAGATTTCCATTTTTTCCATACAATGAGGTAGTGAAAACAACTCACTGTTACTTCTGGTTAGAATTTTTCTTAGCGAGTTAGTTTTCGACTGGATGGGGTCGCCAACCCCGTGCCCAACCCTCTTCCTTTATCCGGGCTTGGGACCGGCAGCAGCCCCAGAAGGGCTCCAGGCGTAGTTACCTTACGGTTGCACTCCACAGAATAACTGTCATGTTACATCTACCCAAACACTGAACTATCCTCTTTTATAATAAGATGGACAATTACATATTTTTTATTTTGGATCATACAGTGATTTTTTTTAATCAACCATCTTACAAATTTCTATCACTTCAAGAAATAAAAAAATCTTGTAAAACAAATGAAATTATTATTTGGTTTTGTTAAAATAGAACACCAGACAGAATATGCATACTACTAATCAAATATAACAAAATTCTTGCCCTGTAGATGTGAAATGTCCACTTTTTCCAGAATTATTGGATAATATAGAAAATAAACCTCAAGTTCCAGTTGGTTCAGATAGTCTTATTTATGATTATGGACAAAATATTACATTACAATGCAGTCGAGGTTATGTGAGCTTTCAAAATCCTAATAGTACATTAGCAACAATGGTCTGTGCTCACGCTAGTACAACGTTTAATCTGGGTTTATGGGACCCGGAAAATTATCAGGCTTGTATAGGTAGGTAAACGTTAGGTTTTAGAAATATTTGTATATTCCATCTATTTGTTTTTTTGTTAAGTAAGCATAAATTTTCGATACTAAAAAACCATAGTTACGAATGAGGTTTATGTTATAGGTAAAACTAAATAAATATATAGAAATAGTCAGAAAACAGTTCGAAAGTGGAGCTAATTCAAAAAGTCACCACTGACTGCATTTTATTCACATTAGATGCTGGGATAAAGCCAGAAACTAGCTAGAAACCAGGTCTTATAATGTATACTCAGGAAAATTACAAAATTACTCACATTTTACCAGTGTATGACCACAGCTAAAGTTTTATCTTAACTTATATGAGCATATGTACACAACAATAATTTGTCAACTTAGGCTGTGCGTAAACTTTGTTACTTGTACAGTTTATTGACAGACCAACTGACTAGGATTTTAATATACACAAGATCTTAATACACTATTGGTAGTCATTAATAAAATTAGTAAAGCATAATATTACAATTCAGTTTGTACTTCAAAAATGATATTTATTTTTCACTATGAAAATGTTATGAAAATCCATCCGAGTACATTAAAATCATTAAAGGGATAATTATTTTGTTCATAATCAAATATATACATTTATCTCTAGATTGTAGGGTAAACATTATGAATAAATTATACCTTGATTTATAGCTGAAAAACAACTTATTTTCAGCCATAGTGTTCAATTTAGTCAAATTTCAGCTGAACTAATATGCAATCTTTCAAGTAATATAAATTACTCAATGTTAAGGTAGGCTGCATCCAGTATTGGCTAATTGCAAATAATCAAAATAAACTTGTAAACTTAGCTTTTGAATATCTGATGGAGTTAAATGTATCTCAAAGTTGAGATAAACTCTTTTCTCAGATGACAGTTAAACACAAGACGTAGTTTGAGGGGCTTTATGTCAACTAATTTCAATTCTCCATCATTGTGAACAGTACAGTGGACAAATCGGATTACGTATGTTAACGACTTCATTTTAATCTAGTCAAATAAACTACTGCATTATTTAAGATCACATATTGTGATATTTGTTAATTCTTTTTTAACCATTCTCATACTTATTCCAGTCCTACATTAGTTTAATTGCAATCCGAGTAGTTTATTAGTAAAGTACTTAGATGAAATGAATTCGAATTTTTAACGTTTGGTCAATTTTTCAAGGCCTCAGAAACCTTTCGATTATCAGTACCAAGAAGCAGTAGACAATACTTTAATACTCTATCACTATAACATTCCTTAATTTAGATAACAAATAAGTTTTAAGGAAACATATTGGTGTTCTGAGATTTCTTCAGAAATGATGCTCTACCCATGAGGTGAATAAAGTAATTTGTCAAACTTTAACACTATATAAATCAACTGCATGTTATTCAGCATTTAAATTGTTTTTGTTGTGTGAGCAAAAAAGTTAATGATTGATTGTTTGCTTAGCTAGACTAACAGATAATCTGACAGGTACTAGATAAGTTATATGTTCTCTTACCCTTATTATTACTGTGACTGTTGTTGATTTTCGATGTGAAAATATACTTAGGTTCTAGTCAGGCTAGTCATGTGTTCTTGATTTGAGTTGTGCTGACGTCCTGTAGAACAGTCACTAAAAGTGTAACTAGTGTAGATATTCGTCTAAGGCAAATTAGCGCTCCATCCATGTAGACGATGAAAATCAAGCATCATATTAGTTTTATTCTTTTATTTACTTAAATTGAGTGTGATAAGATTTCTACAGGTACTTGGAATATATTATATTTTGATTTAGTCTACTTTAAAATAAATTTCCAAAGAAGGTATTCATTTTCTAAAATAATTTACAAATTTTCGATTGAAAATAATTATAAAATGAAGTGAGTTCATCCCATTTCATACACTTGAATTTAACAACTTACACATTGATTAGGATAGATAAACAAAATGTTTTACAAGTTGTGAAACAAAAAACACAACTCATCTAATTAACTATTGAAAAAAATTGCTTTTATTATAAATTCTCTCCATACTTATACAAGTTCAATTGATAGGTTAAATATATTAAACAAGAAAGATCATGAAGTGATAAAATATAAGTAACATGATCAAGATGTTAGTGATTAGGGTAGACAAAATGATGAAAGATTTTTTACTATCAGAAGGGGTTTTGTGGAGATTTTAGTAATTTCAACAGTTGAGATCATGAGTCAATTGAAGCTAGACCACCATGGAAAACCTGGAAGAGCTGGATGGCCGTTTCGTCCTATTGTGTGACACTTCAGCAGTGCGCATCCACGACCCCGCCTCGCGGGATTCTGATACTAATCAACATATTCTCACTAGTGACTGGCTTCAAGATGTATATCCTGGAGTTCTAGTGAGAAGCAGTGACCAGTGGAGTTCAACCGGGTCAGTTGTGAGATAGGAACTCACTGAGACAATGGTAGATATGTCGCTCAATTTCGTAGATTAGTTGAAGTTAGACATTAACACCGTTGGATGCTGACCGGCTCAGTGGTCTAGTGGTTAAGCGCTCACGCACGAGAACAATAGGTCCTGGGTTTGAATCCCGCGGGACGGGTCGCGGATGAGCACTGCTTGGGAGTCGCACAATAGGACGAAACGGCTGTCCAGTGCTTCCAGGTTTTCCACGGTGTTCTAGCTTCAATTGACTCATGATCTTAACTATTAAAAGAGTTTTTTACATGTTACACAAAATTAACATTGTAAAATATTTCATTTCTTTGTACAAATCAGTGGGTATGTGAATGACTCAAAGTATACGGAATATAATTAATTCACTTTACTCGACAATGTGTATTATTCTAACTTTACCAAGGTTCATCAAGTTAAATGTAGGAAAATAATTATGCAGAGGTGTGAACTACTCATATCCACATAAGTAGTATATAACGATAATAAGATATAGAATGTATTTTCGTAGAAGATCGAGAGAGAAAGAACAGTAACGAAGAGCAATTGGTATGAAAATGCACGAACAATGAAATCTGAGACGATGGACTGATATTTGTAAAGGGAGCAGTCATGTTTGAGACAAGTTTAATATTTTGCAAATTGACTATTTACTGTATGGTTCTCAGATTTTAGTGAGATGTTGGTGGAGTTTTGTTCTCTGAGCTGGGTGGTTTCGTCGTGGAGCTTTCATCGTTCTTCCGAACGACATCATCAGCACAAACTTCAGATAGAAGTGAAGTGTTCGAATTTCTCCATAGGTGTTTCACAGCTTGTCCTATGCACCTCGATGTTGATTGGTTCTTGTCGACCTTAAATTTATCATTATTTACTTCTTTGTTTTGGTTGTGTCTCCCATTGGTTTGATTTTTGTTCCTATATTTATGCATGATTTTCCTGATTGGTTGATAAATTGAATTGATTTCAATATGTTTGTTGATTGTGAGATTTTCTGTAATTTAGTGTCTAATATATTCAACTGTCCCCACTGGTGTTCTTGTTCACTACATTAGCAACAATATTTGGTTGAATGTCAATTAAGATTGACAACAAATCATCTGATGTTTTATGATAGAATAATACCTCTTTTACGGTTAATATGGTTTATACTAGAGTACAGAATATCCATTGTACCTCTTTGTATCTAGAACTATATAAATATCTGCCCTGATTTCATGCCAAAGATATTGAAGGTCGTTGAAATGTAGTATTTAATCGTTCGCTTGAAAATCTCTGATCCATAATTTATCTTTACCATAATAATTCTTATTGAGTAGTCATTTTTGAACCAGTTTCTGATTTTAATATTATTGAACACTAACAATATCCTGTTGAAATCTGACGACTGATATTGTAATTCGAATGAAATTAAAAATGTTAATCATCAGATGACGGTTCAGTGATCTAGAGGTTGAACTGTCACCGCGAAATCTAAAGGTCCTGGGTTCAATCCTTCTCAGAGTCGTGGATGCGTACTGCTAAACAGTTCAATATTAGGATGAAACAACTGTATAATGTTTCCTAGTTTTCATTGTTTGCTTAGGGTTAGTGAGCAATATAGAAAACGAAATTCGATCATGTTTACAAACCACTCGTATCAACAGAAATCTGATACATTGAGGAGTTAAATTCCAGTGATACAAACGTTCTGATGAAAATCAACAAGCACATTGTGGTTATTTGCGAACTGATACATATTTACTATGTTTAATGTCTCTGGTGGTTTTTATGTATATTACCGTCACACTATCATACTACACGATTTGAAAAATAATTTGTAGGAGTAAACTTTCATCATTACTTAGCCACCATTTGTCAGCTGAATGACAAAAAATTCTAAATTTTATGAGGCTCCTTCGATTATTTCTGCATTCGAACTCTTAACAACTGATAACATATAATAAAATATTAAAACTTATTCAGATGATATGTGGGTAAGCACTATGATACCTTAGATTTTTCTAGTTATCTATAACTAGTGACAGGTGCTGACACCTCGAAAAACCATCAACTACAACATTTTCAATTCAAAACAATGACTATAAATTCTGTCTAAATATTCTTCTGAATAAACATGACAGACAAATTTATTGTTTCCCATTGTTTTTCGAATGATCTTCAGCTAGTTTGGTTTTTATTTGGTCTCTCACACTGATAAATCTGGAAAATACCTTCAAGCTCAATTAATTTTTACATCCATAAGTAGTATTTATACTACTTAGTCGGTGGATTGTTGAGAATATTTTTCATGTATTCTAATCCCTTCTTCAATAGATAATCTCAAACAATTTTACATCTTTCCTGCTCGTTAACAAACATGAATGTTAGAATGACATTTTACCTTTGAAAGATTTTAAATAGTTTTCTGAAATTTCATTTTGTTTAAACCATTTTATGAAATTAATATCTGAAACTGAAAACTTGTTGTCATAAATGTCCCTTCCAACAAAGCTGCAACTATTCAATTTTTCCCAGAATTGACTAAATTAGTAGGTTTTAAATTGAGCCTTTTAACAAGACTATCCTTGTTTCGCGAAAAGTCAAGCTGTCGATCCATAGAACAACTGCTAAATAAAATTCACCGATTTCCTACAGGTTGTACAAATAAAAAACCATTTGGTAAAACTGGATTTGCATTTTAAAAAACTTCCATAAAGAACAACTATTCAACTTAACTAATGTAAAATTGAATGGAAAATAATGTGAGATCTTTTAATTGTCCTCAAGTCTCTTGTCGCAAAATATATATCTTTAAATATGATATAAACGGTCATTTATAAACTTATTTGTACTGGTTATTTGAATCCTCCTATGGACTTCTAGGATCGTAATTGATCAATCTCTTTCTGACATATTTACATCCTGTGTAGGTTGCCTCTATATTACCACTCAGTTACAAGCATTGAAAGCAGAGATGTACAGCACAATGTTCGAGTCCTGAAGTGAATAATTCTGGGAAGCAGGTACATTCAGCTGACGAGTCCCAAATGGAACGAAGTGCGCGTCCTGCATTCTACTGTTAACTCCTATAAATCTCTGCTTTCAGTGGTCATTTCTAAATTTGTAACTTCATATATTTAGCTTGAAACAGTTAGATAACAATAAATAAGGAATATTAAAGTCTAAGTATATACTATTATATCGTTTCTAAAATATGTTAATTTGAAAGTGCTAAGTAATTATGCTGATTTTAGAATAAAAAAGTTTATGCAACCTAGAGATTAGTAATACTTTTGTGATTCATTTGTGGACTTCTCTAAAGAAAGCTTCAGTTACAATTTTTTAAGTGTTGGTGAACACTTCTGTTTTATTTTTAATTGATTCATAAAATGTTTTTTTCCCTATTAAGTTCTAACTCTCACTTGTAAAATAGCTAAAATCAGTTGACGTTGCTGAATATGTTGAAATACGTTGTAAAAATGGGATTACGCTAATAAAGAAAAAAATGCAAATGAACTAGGGATGATAATGGTTTCCGAATACTTCCGAAAAATCTGTCGTAAAGCATTTCTTTAAGTAAGCTACAATGACTGCTATTGTACATAAACAAAAGCTTACGTCTTCACGCAAACCAAGAGAATACCTTTCCGGAATTAAATTTTCTAAATTAACTATCACACACTAGCGACACAGTCATTTCGGAATACCAGTAAGGATTTGTTTTATACAGTTGTTGATATTTGTGACTTAATTCTAATCAGTTTATGTTGGCTTGTTTTCATCCCAGAATCAAAAGTAAGCATTTTATCACATTTCAGACTTGTCACCTTGCTATATCTAGATAGTCTGCTCAGGACGCACATTTATCAATAAAGACTGACCAGTTGTGGTACTGAATATTAAAACGCGAGAATAAAAACTACAAAATAAATTCGTACCTGTTTCATAGGTTAGTTGTTATCTGTACTCAGCGACTGATATTTGAAGCGAAATTTACAGAGTTTCAGTCTCGGTGTGAACATCAACACAGATAAAGATAAATCTAATTGACGAGACCAATAAAGGACGAAATGCCTTTTCTGAATTTCACTGCTAGCCACTATTCACATATGCCAAATTTTTCCCTCAGGTTGATGAACTCACCAAACAAAGAAATATAAACGAAATTCCATCATCAAATATTTACATTTTTTGTAGCTGTGCGTTGTAATGAAACGGAATTGGACATCACTATTCCTAAAAATGCTAAGTTAGTTACTGCACGTAATCGTATCACGGAACAAGTCTTTGGCTTACATCAGGTTAATCAATTCTATTCATATGGAAATGTGATTTCTATCAGATGTAATCCAGGATATCTATTTAACGATCGTACTACAGAAAAACAGGTATCTTGTGAATTAGCGCCTGGTTCAAATACAATTGGAGAATATCGTGGTTATTCTGGTACAGTACTACCATTACCAACAGAATGTCAAGGTGAGTTAGATAAATTCTTGTGTTATGTCAAAGTAGTGAGAAATCACGCATTTATATTTATTTACTTTCGAGCAACTTCACGGAAAACTACTACCCCTAAATCTAATTGTCGGTGCTTGATTTAGGGTAAATTTAATACATTACTCTTCAAATAACAAATAAACATGAAGATTATTTAATGATGTAAATGGAATGGATGACTGATACGCATTTGCTTCATGACAAGTTATTTTATGTGAAAAACAGCAAACATTAGTCAGATACGATCTAACTTTTGGAATTATTAGCACTGCACTTAAGATGTAATAGATGAAATTACTTAAAATGCAAATAACAATTTGACAGAAGTGTGAAATCTACAAAATAATAAATAGCTGGTGTATTTTATATTTGATTTGTCATTTCTATTCTTAAATAACTTGGTAATTCAACAAGGTAGGTTATTTTTTCAAATATTTCGTGCATATGGTCTGCTTCATAATTTTAAACAATTTTCAAATTAACTAGAGTTATTGGCTTATATGTAGATTAAAAGTAACTAATAATAAGCACTGAATTTATTATGTTTTTTGCAAGCATGGTTATCACTCCTTTGTTTAAGTAATAATAAAGTATACCATGCTCTCTCCATATAATATACACAACAAAGATACATAAAAAATAGCATAATATGTCGCATTTAAAGAATAATTAATGTTATACAGGAAAAAGTACATCCACATCACTTAACTATTAGTAGTCACATTGTTTCTTATCAAAAACGAACCCAAACTATCGTCTTCAGCTTTACTCCCATGTAGCTTACAACTTTCATGAATCATATAGACAATCAGCAACCCAATGGTTTCTTTACACACTTGTAGTTTGGTAGTTTTAAATTAAACCAACACTCCTAATCATATACAATAATTGTCTTGAGAGATTCAAGGATGCATATATCACAACTCTTAAAAATGTGATCAACAAAATGGATAATACACAATAACTATACGAATAAAGCTTGACACAACGAGGAACATAGAAATGTCCTATCTGTAACATGATACTAAACTTTATGAACAATGGGAAACTATGTGACTTCAAAGATCAGGACAATAAAATAGATCTTCTCGAAAGCAACACGACGTTGGTAAAAGATTCAAAGGACGTCTGCAGCCGGATCCCAACTAGCTTCTTTAATAGTATAAAAAAATATACAACAATACTTTGAAGACACTTGTAATCAACGTTCTGTAACTTTGTATCCTCTATTGATAGACAGAAACAGTTCTTCTCATTGAACTGTTTAGGGAGATGAATTTTCTAACCATTGAGAAGAAAAGTGCATTTGGGAAAAACTCGAACAGTAGCAAAATACAGGCAGGTGCTTTAGAAAGAACGCCAGTTATCTACACATCCATACTAGTTGTAGCTGGTTTTAACATGACTTATTTGAATTGCAGAGATATGACGCCATTTAGCAGTACACGAGAACACACTAGTTGTATTGGCCAAAAATATTTTGTAATCCATAATAATTTCCAGCATATCATTCCTAGTATCCACTCTATGGTTAAAGACTTTTCACTGACAACTAAGAACACTTCCTCAATTCTTTCGATAGCGTTTTAAGGTCTGAAAATTCGTTGTTTCTTTTTTCCCTTACTACTTGATTCTAGCTTATAATTTAGGGGCACATGAACGAATATATATAGTGATTCAGTCAATCAATATTGTTTTAGCTCTATTAGTTAACTCAACTCAGACATCAACAAGAGTGAGTACTTATCCCATGGGCTTTTTCAATAAATGAAACAGTTGAAAATATTATTTTAATTATTATGAACGGTTATAAAGTATACGCATTATTCACAGCGTTAAGGATAAAAATTTCGGAAGGTAATTATTTAGCAACTTCAGATTTCAACTAAGTCAAAACTTCAAAAAGATAAGAAGCTAAGTGAAAAGAAATTAAGTTAGGAACATGTACAAATCGCATTCAACATAATTAAAGATGAGAATAGCAAAATGCAATGAAATTACTTTTCGCTTAGTAATACAGCCTGCGTTTATTAGCTAAAAAATGTAACTGTTTCATTTAATTTTTGTTTAAATTGCCAACACTTTTGTAAGTCTAAACCACACCAGATGGCTTCATAAATGATTATCACTGGTCCTTTGACTGAAAGTTTGATTCTATGAGGTAGTGAGGCAACGTCAAAAGATGGATCACTATAGTGCCAAACGAATAAAGTGGGTTTCTGTTCAAGTTTATTCATTTCCCTTTTGTGATGCTAACGTATTCACCTCTTCGGCTAAAAAAAGAAGAAGTTCGCTTCTTTTCTATCAAAGTTGTGTTAAGATGTCATTTACGTGAACTCACTAATCATGAATTCTCAAAACCGTTCAACATGCTTACATATGATAATTTTGCAACATGTACATGCATATAATGTGTATCCATTAGTTTCCTGATGATGATCCTAGTGAAATAAAGTGAAGATTATATTGGTTTCTATTGACTAACTAACCCCCATTGTACTTTATTTATTTTTCTAGATACTAACATCGAGTCTGATTTTTAAAATTATAAGTTCGTTTTTTAAATTTTAGAGGCCACTTGTTTATATGAACAAGCTGTAATACAACCGGATTATAATATGGAACCATATTTTATTGTCATGAAAAGTAACGTAGACGTGATGAATTTAACGAAACACAGTGGAGTTCCATATCCACGTGGAACAGTGATTCGATACTTTTGCAAAGACGGTTATGAAAGTATTCATCAAAATTCCGAATTAAATATCACATGCGGTAATTACGGCCAGTGGACTCCACAACTAATTGGTTGTATTGGTAATCAAACAATATTTGGTTGTTTTCCTTTTACAATTTCTCTCTGTAGATCCAATAGGCTTTTGCATTAATAATTAACAGTACATTTGTATTTTTCCAAACAAATGAAAATTTGAGTGATTCACTGTTTACCAGTAATAGTATATTTCACTGACTACTAATCATACAACGTTTCTTGCAGTCGATAATTATTTCGAGAGGTACACACTAAGAAATTGTAGCCATCAGTAATAAGCCACAATTTTATTTCAGTTTATGGAACAAAGACCATATAAAATACAGCGGGAAGTAAGCTACCCTTAGGTATTCTATTTTATCCATAACTCGTTTTCATCGAACAACTTTATACAGGAAAACTCTGTGGCCTTTCTAAACATATTGATGACTTTATTGCCGTTCACTGACTCAACACTTATTTGTTTTATCGATATTTGATGATAAAATAGCCTGTCAAGTCCAAGTGTTTACCTGTGATAAGAATGTATTAATTAAAAAAGCAATAATTCATCAGTTCGCGACTTCTTTTCTCAGTTAGTATTCATTTGTGTTACAGTATTTATTACTTAATAACTATTAGAGTAATTAAAACTATTCTTTGAATGTTCAGAACTTTAAAGTGAATACATCTCATAAACGACAAATAAGATTACATGTGTATTGGGACTTCTTTTTAGAGAAATCACCATACATACAACAAGAATACAAAGCAATTTATAAATATGAGCAAAAGGGTACAAAACCTGACAGTCATGTCAGTGGTGTGTTAATGTAAAAGGGAAGTAAATGAGAGACAAATCGTATGAAGGAAAACAACCATAATAAATAGATGTTTTAGGAATGATATATACAAAAAAGAGTCCAACTTAAAAACGAAAAAGTAAAAAATATATTTCAGGAATAACTAGAGCAGCAGTTGGTCAACCGTGAAAGTGATATCCACTCTGAGGTAGCTTAGCATGATATGAAAAAAAGCTGGGGAAACAGCAGTGGTATCTGCAGATAACTTGAACCAAAAGGTTGAAAAAAAGAATGGATCCTAATGGCGTTTACGGTACTGGTTTATGCTCGGAAACTTGTCACTCCTGGCTCAGAACACTATGTGGAGAGGAGGAAGCTTAAAAGTGGACTGACAAAAAGCATATGTAATGGTCGTGAGTAGCAAAAACAGTAGAAATGATAGAAAATTCAGCAGTCAGAGATAACAGAAGACAACTGTTCAGACTTCTCGAAGAAACGGACATTAACAATACGGTTGTTAGTGAATTTATCTCGGAAAAGGATGGGACTATTACTCAATTTCAATCCATGGGATTAAATCGAAGGGCAGAATACTTTAGGGAGCAGTTCAACTGGCCTTCAACCACACTGCGGTTACCCACTATCTTCAGTCAACCTGAATGGTGAATTGATGCAAGCCCTTCAAATCCTAGTGAGGTTGTGAAGACTACAAGCAATGTAAATGGAGGGAGATCAGAAGGGTGTGATGAACCAAATCTCGGGATTTTCAGGGATGATGGTCCAGTTTTAGCAGCTAAATTGACTGAGATCTTAGCTAAAACCTGAGAACCGAGTATAATCCTGTCTGAATAGTCTCTAACACTGATCGTTCCAGTCCACAGGAGAGGGTAAAAACTCTCGTGATAATCACAGAGGATTCGGTTTGACCAGTATAGTAACTAAAGTATCAGCTTCAATATTAATCCGACGTCTTACTTGAGCTCGTAAAAAGCAGACCTGAAAATAGATAGCCTGTTACGAGATTTAATGACCAAACTGCAACGGTCAATCATTTCTACGGTTAGTTACTGTTATTTCAATCATCCATTTTATTAATTTAATAAAACAGTTTTTTTCTAAAATCCACTTTTTATAGCAAGAATTGAGAAAGTCCCTGTGAGTCTTACTGGACGAATTTATACTGAACCAAAAGAAGCTGAATCTGCAGCAAAATTATCCTCAATTATGTTCATTATGGTTTTTATATTTCTGGGGCTAATTTTATTGCTAGATTTAGCCACTATTGGTAGAGATTTCAAACAAATACGGAAAAATATTAAATTGCAAAGAAGAAGATTGAAACACTCAGGAAATAAAAGCAAAGTTGGTTGAAAAAAGTACTTAGTGAACCATCTTATCACGGTCAATAATTGTTTGTTTTTTGGCTTAATCAGAGATAAAATATGTTAAATATTATCACCATTGTGAAATTACTGTCAGTAAATTTTAAACGTTTGTCCTTTATCAGTTTTTATTTCAACATTTTCACTGATAAATAATTTATTGATGTTATTTAGGCTTCTCAAAAAACTCCTTCGTTATTCAGTCATTTATAAACAACATAAGATCTAGACCAAATATCCATAGACCTAATCTGTGAAGTTTTATACCAGTACAAGAAGACAAAACCAATAAGAAAAAATCTAATAAGCCCAAAAGTTAGTATCACTGTTCGTGAAAATAGGATAAAAAGCACGGTTAAAAAAAGAATGCGTGAAAACGATCGCTTAAGTCAAAATCTGAAGTGAGAAGGAAAATTAATAGACATGCGTTACTGCTATTGATATTGAACCACGTCATCCAAGGTCTCCAACCGTAAATAACGACTAGCTAGCAGACCCCAAAATAATAGGTTAGATCTTTGATTACGCTTCTTTTGGTTAGTTTGTAACTTCCATTGACCAATAATACAAGCTAATTTTTGTTTATAGTATATCCTGTGGTAAATGTTACGTGAAAGCCAAAATTAACACTGTAAAGAGAATATTATTTCGATATTTTGTATCTCTGTTACAAACGGTTTGATCTGTTAACATGAAATATATAAATAAGTTTAGTTTACAACCTTATTTCAGTGTCTTTAATTTAGAGAACAAAAAGTCCCAACTCCATGTTTCATCAATCTGTGACAATTAAAAAGATTTTTAAATCGTTCAAATAATTATACTCTTACTTCTTGCAATTCAGATTCAGAGAATAAATGTTTCGTCAAAACCTTCAAGTTAATATCACCGTCCTAAAAAAAGATGGATTATGATAAAAAATATTTTAAAGAGTTCACTATCTTCACTTTAAAAATGTTATCTTACCAATAACTGAAGAGTGCCATGATTGAGTAGATCTTGAGTAAGTTCACAGTACGCTGGAATTTTGTTTCTGACCACACTAAAGCAAACGAAACCACAGAAATGGGTCAGATAAGTTTCATGAATTCACCAAATATGAGGTAATACATGAAAAATGTCTAAGTCCAGCTATGTACAAACATTAAAAAAGCTACATTTCCTCATTCTATTTGAAAAGACACTTTCTTGCCCGTTAACTGAAGCGAAACGCTTAGAGGTTTTTTTTATCCTACTTTTACTCCTTTCAACAATGAAAACTCAAAATCAAGTCTTTAGTTTAAATCCAATCTACTTAGTTAACCCTGCTATACAACATTACCGGTTACCGTGTATCCATCCGAGTGTATATACATTAGTACATAAAGGCCTGTTTTCAAACAATTCTGCTATGGTGGCCAAGCCTTAGTGGTGTAAAAATTGAAATAGATCCACGAACTAATGTACTACGCGACCAGTAAATGTGTTCTACAAGCTCAGAAGATATACTTTACCGATAAAGATGAGCTTGAATAGGAATAAAATTTAAGGCCCAATGATCCGTGTCGTTTATAAACACTGTTTGTTTTAAATATTTTATAACCTTTTCTGTTTAATATATTAGCTCAACCTAGCCTTATACATTTTAACATATGTAACAATAGAAGTGTATAATATTAAATATATATTGCACGATGTTCCTCAGGTTCAAGAATTTAGATATCCTCTCAGCTTTTATAACTAAAATTTATATCCATTGCAGTAGAGAGAAGCAAAGAGACGATGAACTTCACTAGTTTTGCCGACCCATAAATCGATCAATCAACAGTAACAAAGAAGTAGATTACATTTGATTCAAAATTAACTCCAAAAACAATGGCTCAAATCATTAAATAGAAGTCAGTGGAAAGCATATGTTGTGTTCATTGACAGATAAACATGTATCTATTAACCCGAAACAACTCACTGCAAATCCATTTTAGTGTATGTTTTGGTCATGAGATTATATACAACCTCATGTACCTAAAAACCAGCTAGATGAATGACAAATATGCTGGGAGAGGTTTTTATGTTAGAATCGGTTAAGATTTGATTCTGCGTTCCCACCACCAACTTTTTGGTTATTTCTGCACTTTAGTAGTATAGTTAATTCTCAAAATTAATCAAGCTTTTAAAATCTAAATTCTTGGTTAAAATATTCAATGAAGAATTAATAATAATCGTTGCCATGTTTCTCTATTAGACATGATTATTTAAAGACTAAAAACATATTTTATATTATTAAACTTCGGCTAGAGAAAAATAGACTGCATCCATCTTATTACTGTTTCGTCATATTAACTGATAAGCCTGTCAAACCTTTTACCGGGCTATTTAAAAGTACCAAAAATGGTTCTAATATTAAGGGAGTTTGAGCATATTGTTGTATGGTACAGACAAAAGAATTAATGAATCCACTAAGCGCTTGTACAAAACCCATTGAGTAAATTTGATTAGCAAGTTGACCAATTTTCATATCTAAGGGGATTTTGATATAAGGTTCTTCCTAAATAATCAGTGAACCCTGGGTCATCTTGCGGCGCCAAAGTGCATTGGATTTCTATCTTAGATTATGTAAGCGTGTTGCCACTTTGTTTGTAAACTTAATCTAACAGCGTGGTAGTTTAGTATAATTTTTAATAGCGTAGATCCATCTTACAAGTTAACATAACATGGATTGATCAGTGGATGGCATAACAGACCTTAGAACTCATAATGGAGAACACATTTGAGTACAACACTGGACTACCTCAAATTTTCATCCTATAAGATCCCTGATTCATTTACACAAAAATCCAATACAATATGACGTGTATGAAATGTTGCTACTTAGTTCATGGTCGAATTTTTTATGAACATTAACTAGAATAATCTCATCTTTTTACCCCGTTTTATTTTTGAATTGTCACTCGTCATCTTGTCCCGCAACTTTGATGTTAATACTTCTACCCTACTCGCCTTCTACAGATAGCTATTTTAAACCAATCACAAAATCCCCTACCAAATCTATTTACGAAACCTATTCATAACGCCCACCAAGCAATCATCTACATTAACATATACAAGTAGCAAGTGGCATCGACTGCTTTGTAAACTTATTCAAATTGGAAGCTGAAGTAACGGAAAATTATCCGTTAGACAATCAAAAGAAGCCCATTAAGCATAATATTTATATGAAGTAAGCTTGGATTTATAGGAAGAACAGTACAAAAAGTTGGTGATGGGGACCAATACTCGATCTAATAAATTTCTTTTCAGTCAATTCAGATCTTAACAACAAGGCATTAGAGCTTAACAAATGAGCAAGTGAACTCCCCAAAATATACACAAAAAGTACTTTTGTACATCAGTAATCGATGACAAACACTGTTCTTATATTATTTTGATGAGTGAATTTTTTTATGACCATGTGAAGATCACACAGAATATGGAAAAATTTACCTACAAAAAAATCTCGAAAGGGATGGGAATAAATAAGTTAGTGTTAAAAATAAAGGCTGGTGCAGACTCGTTTAAACTTTCATGAGTCGAAATATCAAAAGATTCTAGTCCTAAAAGATACATTACAAATTAAATTTTAACTTTCATAATTTTATTAATATTTAATAACACATACAAGAAACTGATAAGGCAATTGACAGAAAATTCATATACCTCGGTGCGACCGCACGCTGAAATGCGGTAGACTGGTCCTCAACACTACTTAAATCAGGAACAATCGGTATCTCTGTTTATTCGTAAACACATTAATAGAAGATTACCGAGTTCTTCATCAGATTCTAAAAGATATTTTCCAGATTGTATTCTTCATAAAGTTAAAGAATAATTTTACCTTCCCTACGTAAAGCTTTGCAAAAATCTAGTGTATCTTCATTAGCTCTGTGAAAGTGTTTGTTGAGATATCTGTACAGTACATACCTTCTGGAAAAAAAAATTAAGAGTAAATACCATCTCTCTAAAATGTATAGATACTTTCTAAAACATACGCTGTGCGAAATTTCAACCTCGTTCCAACCGCCTATTTTACATTCCGGAAGGTTAGTGGTCTTCTTATTCACATGAATCACGAAAAAACCTACCTTTATATCACTAGCTTTATGTAGATCAAACTCATTAGAAATTGGATCATCTTTATCTTTAACCGTTTTTTTAGCTCTTCTACCTTTTTTGGCAAACTATCAAAAATTGTGTAAATATAAAAAAGAACGGGCACTTTTGCCGATCCACTATTCACGTCCAAAACATCCGCCATTACTCTGTACATCAAGTCATGACAACAGAAATATCAAATTCAATAAACATGAATCAGAGACAAAAAAGCAAATTACCTGTATCGGTATCTTTATCAGTAAAATTTACGAATTTCTAAACAGTAGAAATAATCTGCAGAAATCGATCAATCACATAGATATAAACGTGTGCCTTAAAAAAGCGAGGATTTCATACTGGTTGTAAATTAAATTTGTTTTTGAGTATATAATGAAAGCATACTTATTCGGCTTTATCTCGAATTATTTTGGTTAACGTTTTGCGTTTTCTTTAAGTCCGTTCTGTGGTATTCATGTTTTAGATTATTGCAAAATCTGTGATCATCCTGTGTATTTTATCAATTTTTCCTTCAAAATCCCACCAACATAGCCGATTCTATTCGGAATTTTGACCATCGAGAGGTTTTCTGTTTTCGTCGAAATCAGTTTATTGTGATTTGTCCCAAAATTCATTCTATGGTATGTGTACCTGTTTGAATCCCACTATTTAAAAAAAATACTCGAAGCCAAACTTTGTATGTTCTGTTGTCCGAGTAAGACGCTGGTGATGCAAGGTGTAAACAGTCTTTTAGCGTTGTTGAGCAAGGAATTCGAGGAGGGATGCACTGATAACATGAGTACTGATAGCGAAAATTAAGTCAGCTTACTAAGTGCCGTTGCGTGATGTTATACCTAACAATGCATACACGACTCGTAGTTCGCATATTCCTATCCTACCAGATTAGTCGCTTTTTGATGACATGCAGTAGAAGAACGTCCCATTAGCATTTGCGATGTTGTAAAAGATGTGAGGATAGTGACATCTGTCTCATCGGCGGCCTGCTTAAATATCTGGGCTACCTGTTTCTGCCATCTAATTATTTCAACAGGTTATCTGTTTTTTTCATTTCTTTTAACGTCTTATTATGTCCATCAATCGCATAACATATACAGGCGCTTTTATGAAAAGCCTACGACCCTTCGCTGTACAAGTTGCAAAGAAGTACTAAAAACGACATCGCGGTGGTTGGCAATATGCGTTAAAGAGAATGAACATTAATCGCATGTCGATTCCCGAGCTGCTAAATTCCAACTGCCAGTCACTAATCAACAGAGTGGACTATCTTCAATTCCTACTAAGTCAAAATATGTATCGTAACTGTGGTGTCATCACAATCCAAGAATCATGGTCAAATGAGTTACGGGACGACTGTCTAGTATCACCACGTGATTTCAAAATTTATCGTCAGGATCGATCAAACAACAAAAAGAGGTGTGGCGGCAGTGTAGCTACGTTTGCAAAAGATGAACTGGTGTCGGTCTTCGTTTGCATGTTTCAAGTTTTCAAATGACTTTATCGACTGTCTAACTCTAAGATGTCAACCAAAACATCTGAATAAATACAAATATGTTTATGTTACCAATATCTACGTGACTCCAGACTGCACACCATCTGCGCTATCTGTTTTCGCCGGTGAATTCACTGAGTTCGCTGTTACTGCCTTCACTGATTCACTTTCAGTTGTATGTGGTGATTTCAATTCATATGACTGTCGCTTCCTTACGTAACTAAGTCACCAAAATGTAGTAGATTTTCCTACTCGTTTGAATGCTCATTTAGACTTCGTTTTCATTAATGATGTGGGTATATATGTGACTCGTAAACGTGCTCCATTGTCTGGCTCTGATCACTGTATAATTAGAGTTCTACCTAAAGTATATGAAAAGCATGGAACGAGTACACTCCCACATCAAACGAAGAAAGTCAAATATAGGAATTACTTAGAAGAAAATATCCGAAATCTGCAAAACATGTTTCATACGAATAACTGGGAATTATTTACAGATGACTCACTGCAAATTACTACTGACGTTATCACTTGTTACCTTAAATTTTGTTTTGATATTTGTTGTCCCACTGAAACCATTTTTGTAAGTTCTGATCGACTTACATCTTCACAGCTAAAACGACCACGAAGGGTGAACGAAAGAATGTCCAAGAAGAAGAACTCTAATGAAGTTCGTGAGCTAAATGTTCTGATAAACCTAGAGATTAGACGTCTCAACTCCATGTTTACAGAAAAACTGTTGTATATCAAAAACTCTTCAAGTATTTGGAAACTCTTCAAAGAACCTACAGGTGACAGACAGATTAGGAGCGGTAACCAGCTAAATATTTGTGACTTAAGTCTTTTTTACCCCAGTCGTCAGATGTAATGCTCCCTTTATCCACAGGTTTAAAGAATAACTGTGTTCCTAGTTTCACTGAGACTGATATCCGAAGATTTCTTAAGTTACCTTATCAATCCCGATATTAAGGACTTGATGGTATCCCGAACCTCTTTTCTAAGAAATGTGCTGACGTCCAATGTTATCCTTTCACGACTATCTTCAACAGATCGTTCTCATCTAATCTAATACTGGAAATGGGGAGAATGATGAAGATAATCACTGTATCCAAGAAAGTATCTGGTGATAAGAATGTGAAATTTAGATCTATTGCAATAGCTTCACCCTTCCTCAAAACAATGGAAAAATTATTGGTACTTCCACTTCAGCCTGCGATAAAAGAGCATATTGGTCCGTATCAGTTCGCTTACAGATGCAAAAGAAGCACCTTCGATGCTGTCACTTTTCTGCATCACAATATACTGCTCAAATTAGAAAAGGGTAAGAAGTATGTTCGATACGCTTTTCTGGACTATACTTTAGCTTTTGATTCTGTACCAAGACAATGTTTAATTAACAAGTTAATCAGCGTCAACACTGACAGCTGAATAACCAACTAGCTATGTTCCTACCTTTCTGGAAGGGAACAGTGCACTGTATTTGGAGAAAAGTCTTCAGAGTCTCTACTGTCTCATGAAGGTGTATCACAAGGAGCTGTTCTTTCACCTCTTCTTTCTCCTTTTTTTTCTTCATGATCTGCCATCATACACAGAAAACACTTTTGATTGTTGGTCTGTTGGTAATGGTATCATACTTAATCCATCTAAATGTCAAGCTGTTAACTTTAGCTTGAGACATAAACGGCATCCAAGCACCGTTATGAGATACCATAATGCTTGTACCATTGGAGACGCTTTGATAAATACAGTGTCGAAGGTCAATTATCTTGGTTTTACCATTTCCTCTGATCTCTCTTGGTCTTCTCACGTTTTATTGTTAACGGGAAGGTTTTGCGTCTGACTTACTACATAAAGAGACTGCATGCTCTTGGGATTACTCGTCATTTACTCTCACAATCTATCAATTCTTGCACATTACCTAGTATTCTTTACCGTTCTCCGTTATTCTTTCCCGTGCTTTTGAGAAAAGACTGCTGTATTGTGCAGAGTGCTGAAGGCAGTTAGCAAGGTGTGTGGTGAATCCTTCGAGGTCATAAATAATATGGTTGTGGATAAACATCTAAAGTCGTGCAGACTCCCGGCAGGCATTAACCATCCCCATCACTCTTATCTTTCTTCTTGTATATGTTCTGGTAGAACGAGACGTAATTACATTAAAATCCATGCACACAAGCAAAAGTATAAAAGTTCTGTAATACCTTACTTAGCAAATATACTGTGTGACGAACAGATTGTTGGAGTTAATCAAGTCAATAACCTGTATTTTTAACATATCTTTAATTTGAAGAATTGTAGTTTTTCGGTTTTTTAACGTTTTTCGTTTTTTGTCTTTGTTTTTGAGTTTTTGCCTAAGTAAGTTGTTGAAATACCCTGTGATGATAATTCTATATTGTACGAAAAAAAATTTCTGAATAAAGCTGAAGATGACACAGGTATTCAGTGTTCGACAACGCTTTTACGAGCAACACCTTCTAACATATTTCGTTTCCACCCAGAGAAATCAGAAGACAGAGTCGAGGAGATCGGAAGAGTGTATTTGACGATAACCAATATATTGGAATTCTCTGATCTAATCTGGCTAGCGATTGCGGTTGACGTTGAGAACGGCGTTACCACACGTGATCTGGTGCGGATGCATGACCGAGCGCCTTCAGCTAGATGAGTCCACTAAAACATTTGGTCAGGATCCAATGTCAAAAACTTAGAGCTATTTATTTTGGGGATTTATTTACCGCTACAGATCACTCCCCCCCTAGTGGGGCAGTGTCGACCCTAAGACGTGGCCAGCCAGAAGTTTAAACCCAGCGAGTTTGTCGTTGGTAAACACTCTTCTGATAGCTTACTAAGTTTAGCAGCGTCTGGTCGTCTTTACTTACCATGTGGGACCTAGGTACAACATAGTAAAAGAAGAAAAAGTTACAACGAAAATTCCGACTCCTCGTAAACTGCATCGTTCTTTTCCGGCCGTCCTGGAAAAGAAAAAAGGAAGTGTAAGTGCATGTCGAAATACAATCGTATGTGCGTAAAAACACAATGTTGGCGAAAAATTGGAATATAAACCAATTTACACGTAATATCGTTAAAAAAATTATAACGTTTTTTTTGTTGTTTTTTTAAAATTAAAATAAAAATATATAAGCACATTAAAATTGTTTTTTTAAATATATTATATATCGTAAAAAGAGAGATCGAGATAATATTAAATGTCTGGTAGTGCCTTACGTGCAATAGTCGTTTAAATGTTCTGAAAATCTAACTCTTCTTCCAGAACGCGTCGTTTTAAGTTTATTTTCAGTTACATTCGGAGTATCATCGCTAGTGTTGGTTGTCGGTTGAGGAATTATGAGTGTAGGAGTCGTGTTGTGCGATTGTACAGAAGGAAAATCGAAGTAGATAGGATTTTCTTCTAAATGCGCTGCTTTGAGGCGATCGATGCTGATGCTATCGTTGGTTCCGTTCTTATAGATTATATAGTACTTCGGTTCGCGTTGAAGAACTTTGAAAGGTCCTTCGTATGCTGATTCGTCGATGCGAGTCTCGACGAACGAAAACGTGTATACTATATCGTAAGTCAGGTTGAACGAAAACATCGGTGTATTGTGGTCGAGTGGAAGCAGGTTTAACTGAACTCATTGCGTTTGTAAGCCTGTTCGTGTAGGAGGTTAGATCCATGCTCATTGAAGAGGATGAAGGACCCACGAATTCTCCTGGAAGTCGAAGTGTCGTTCCATAAACGAGTTAAGCCACAGTGTATCCAATGTCAGCTTTCACTGCATTGTCAATACCTAGTAAGACGGGTGGAAGAGCGTCGATCCGCTGTGAAACAGTCGCAGCTGATAGTGAAGCTTTTAGTTGTCGGTGAAAACGTTCTACCAACCCGTTTGCTTGTGGATGGTAGGCGGTCGTTCGGAATCGAGTGATTACTAAAAGTGTGGTCAGACGACGGAAAGGTTCAGATTCGAACTGACGTCCGCGGTCTGTAGTAATAGTTGAAGGGCAGCCGAAGTTTGCGGTCCACTGTTTCTGCAGCGATGTCCTTGATAGGTACTGCCTCTGACCATCGAGTGAAACGGTCTACGCAGGTTAAGAGGTAAGAGTATCCGTTGGAATCTGGTAAAGGTCCTACCAAATCCAGATGAACATGGTCGAAACGAGCATCGAGAGTTTTAAATGAGCCTAAGGGACATTTATTGTGTCTGATGACCTTAGATTTTTGGCAGCTTACACAGGAGCGTGCCCACTCCCTCACGTCTTTATTCATGCCAGGCCAGCAAAACCGTTCTGCTATCAAGTTGATGGTTGCACGAACACGTGGATGAGAAAGTTTGTGCAATGTGTTGAAGACATTGCGTCGATAATGTTTCGGCACGATTGGGCGATCCCTACCTGTAGATGTGTCACAAAGTAAGGTTTCCTTACCTGTTCCCATCTGTTTGATGCATAGCTTGAGTGTTGTAGACGATAACTCGTGCTGAATATCAGTGTCTTCTTTTTGAAGCTCGGCGAGTTTACGAAGGTCGATTCCTTGGAAACTGTTCAAGGAAGTTATGCGAGATAAGGCGTCTGCAACTACATTATTTGCTCCAGGAATATGTTGAATATCTGAAGTAAACTGCGAAATGTAGTCCAGTTGTCGAGACTCACGGGGAGAGTACTTGTCAGAAGGAGAGTTTAACGAGAAAGTGAGTGGTTTATGGTCCGTGAAAAGAGTGAATTCACGGCCTTCGATGTAGTGTTGAAAATGTCGTACAGCACAATACATAGCTAGGAGTTCCCTACCGAATGTGCTGTACCTCGATTCGGTGCCTAGCAACCGTCTAGAGAAAAATGCCAAGGGTTGCCAGGAGTTGTTAACCCATTGTTGTAAGACGCCACCGATTGCTGAGTCGGATGCGTCTACTGTGATACTAATGGGTGCTTCGGTGTACTGATGTGCGAGCATTGTTGCTTTAGCGATCAGTTCCTTAGCTGTGGAGAATGCTTTTCGTGCAGTGTCGTCCGAATTAATCGAGTTCGCGTTTCCACAAAGTTGGTCGGTAAGAGGTTTCATAAGTAATGCGCATTTCGGTATGAAACGTCAATAGAAACTTACGAGGCCGTTAAACGTGCGTAATTGCTTGACGGTGGTCGGTTCTGGGTAATCCAGAATGGCCGCCACTTCGGTTCTAAGGGGTCGGATACCTTGAGCATCGATAGCGTGTCCCAGAAAGTTTAATGAGTCGGTTTCAATTTGGCATTTCTGAATGTTTACAGTAATGCCATGTTTTTGTAGCCGTTCGAAAACAAGATTCAGATGCTGGAGATGTTATTCTCTGTCCGGACTTGCGATTAGACAGTCGTCAACATACGCATGTACGAATTTGGGACCTCAAAAATGTCGTTTATAAACCTTTGGAAGGTTTGTGCAGCATTTCTTAGACCGAAAGGCACTCGCGAAAATTCGTAGAATCCGAAGGAAGTTCTGATAGCTGCTTTCGGAATGTCGTCAATGGTCATGGGAATTTGGTTATACGCTTTAACCAAGTCGATTTTCGAAAAGACAGTTGTACCTTTCAACGTAGCTGTCAAATCGTGAATGTGAGGCAACGGGTAACTATCGGGAATGGTTTTCGCATTCAGTCGCCGATAATCAACAGTTGAACGCCAATCGTTGCTGTCCTTTTTAGGGACCATGTGCAACGGAGATGCACATGGGCTATTTGACGGTCGTATGATTCCTAAGTCTATCATATGGTCAAATTCATTTTTGGCCAACCTTAGCTTTTCTGGAGCTAGTCGTCGTGCTTTAGAAAATACAGGTGATCCTGTAGTCGTGATATGATATGTAGCGTTGCTGGTTACACACGGTAACTTTGATTGCGTTTGGTGTATCCCAGCATACTTATCGAGTAGTGGCTGATAAAATGAGTTTATAGTGTGCTCAATTGTGACTGAGGATAATCTGCGACCAGAAAAAGAAGTTACGCAAACGGATAAATTAGTGTTTCCGTCTACTAGCCTCCGTTTGCGAGTGTCGATGATCAGATTGTGGTGTTGTAGAAGGTTCATACCAATGATTGGCATAGAAACATCTACAACAACGAAAGTCCAGTGGATGGGTTTGCGTAAACCCACGTTATGGTAAACGTACCTTTTGCCATACGTAGCGATCGGTTTTCCGTTTGCCACCTGTAAGTTTAGGGTCGATTCGTGAAGTCGGTCGTTAGGATTTGCTGGGAGAACGCTAACTTCTGCGCCAGTGTCGACGAGGTAGCGAACTCTCGTTGTCACATCTGTGACGTATAACAGACGGCTATGTTCGCCGGCTACGGTTGACGTTAACGCGTGCCGGCTTGGAAGTGTTCCGAGTTGTTTTTCGAGTCACTCGGTTTCGTGTCGGGAAAATTGCAGAGTTTTCTGCAATTTCTGGAAAACTTTCCATACTGGTTATGATAACAGCACCAGTCGGGGTTATCTGTCTCTCGTGATCTAGAGACAGAGCGCTTACGTGAAATGCTTCTACGTGAGGTGCGCGATCTCTTACGGTTGGTACGAAGACTAAGATAACGCGTGAGTGTGTCACATAACTCGGTTATGTCATTCTGAGTCGTGTGAGGCTTTTCTTTGACTGAAAATACCTCGGTAGTAGAAGGTTTCGTAATTTTTAGAATGCGGTCGACAGATGCAGTTAGCTCGTCTGAGGCGTTGTTCTGGAACGAGACCAGAACTGCTTGCACCTGTTGGGAAAGTTTTGACAAGAAGAGTTGTTTGAATAGGCCTTCGTCGAAAGTTCTTGGGCCTATAACCTCTCTCATCCGTTGCAACATGTCCGTCGCAGAACCGTGTTGCAGGTCGATGTTATTGAAGAGTTGATCTAACCTTTGTCGATCGGTTAAGTCTCCTCGTTTAAGAATCGAGCGTTTTAAGATTTCGTAAGGATCGGAAACATCACTAGTAAACATACTAGGTGTTACGTACCTGTTGAATTCGCGCGGTAGTGCCTTGACTACTGCGAGGAATTGTTCACGTGAGTCGATCACGCCGTGCTCGGAGAAGTCGGCTTCTGCGTAGCAAAACCAGGCTTCGATGTTGTCGGGCCAGAAAGGCATCAGTTGAAACGAAGGTCGGGACAAAGTCTTAAGCTTGAGTACTTTAGGTATCTGTTCAGTCATGATGAAATATGAAGTACGATAATGAACGAGGAGAAAAAACGTATATATCCAAGAAAAAACACAAAAAAATCACAATGTTTAAAAAATAAAAAACAAAGCAATGATATATAAAAATCTTAAACAGGAACAGACTAACAGTTGGAATTAGGTGTACCAGATCACGTCGAGCTCACCAATGAAGATGACGCAGGTATTCAGTGTTCGACAACGCTTTTACGAGCAACACCTTCTAACATATTTCGTTTCCACCCAGAGGAATCAGAAGACAGAGTCGAGGAGATCGGAAGAGTGTATTTGACGATAACCAATATATTGGAATTCTCTGATCTAATCTGGCTAGCGATTGCGGTTGACGTTGAGAACGGCGTTACCACACGTGATCTGGTGCGGATGCATGACCGAGCGCCTTCAGCTAGATGAGTCCACTAAAACATTTGGTCAGGATCCAATGTCAAAAACTTAGAGCTATTTATTTTGGGGATTTATTTACCGCTACAAAGCCATTAATAAAAAATAGAAGATAAGCAAGGTAAGTACCATAAGGAAGTACAAATTAGTAAACTAAATAAAACCTATCTCAATGAGATTTGTCTGGGGTCGTAAATAAATCCTTAGGAGAAATAGTTCAGTAAATCTTAAACACTAATGTTAACATCATCAGATTTCAGTGGACACACCCTATCTGAAGGCGCCGAACATGCGTCCTCAAAAGGCCACGATTTGTTACA